AAGTACTATATGCTGAGCTTCGACGCATTATCCTTGAAGAATTGTGGGACTTACTGCGGTTCGCCTACATCCCTTCTCTGGTTAATACCCTAGGTTGGAAAATCGTCGCAGAGTTTATATACTGACCTCCTTCTATCATCTATATCCTCAACTCCGAATAGTGACACGCCTATGTCATTTTATCGCGGAATATAGATGACTAACAAACATACGACCTATGTGAGCGACCAAGTGTAGACACATAGCAGTTTACACCAAAGTTAATAACATTCAAATAGTAACTTGAAACTTGAAAGGACTTTATTCGTGCAAGCCAGTTTAACCATTACCCTCTCGTACACAGTGTACTTATCCTCATTAAACTGACCTATATCTTTCGTTTCTTCAAATGCACTGATACTAGCATAGTCATAGTACAAGAAACGTAAGTACATGGACGTCTCTTTCATTGTGGATGACAACACCAAAGACGACTGAGTGACAAAAGTTGACGAACTTAGTGGTACATCAGAAGCTGTTGGATTACCACCACTGCTATCTTTTATGATTAGCACCTGTTCAGCCTTAATATCTGTCGACAGGTGGGCTACACGCTGATCACTTACACTGATTGTATCACGAGTATCCATACCTTCTGCGACTGCATCTGCCTTTAAGCGTACTTAACGTTCAATCTCTACAAAGCCTTCGTTCAACCTAGCAGCAGTAGGCAATCCCCTCACCTCACCATGATCAACCAAAGACAAAAGTGCACTATCATGATCATAATCATAAATATTCATTTTACTGTCGTCTATCTGGTCGACTTTATCATTTCCAAACTCTTTAATAACAGCAGTAGACGATTTGGGCTCTTCCTCATAGATCCTTAAAGGTTTTGTACCTTTGCTCTGACTAGTTACACTTTTTAACCTTGTGGAGTCAGAACTAGACTCTGAAACTGTAACTCTCTTCTCCTGTATAAACTGTTGTCTGCGACTCTCTAATCAACAATGACTCACCAGTTGCAACTACAGGCTTCTTCACCGCACCATTATCGTCACACCATTCGGAGTCAGACCTTGATTTCACATTTATCTTACCACTATACTTGGTTACTGATTTACAGTCCGCCTTTGTGTGCACTTCTCGCAAACGTTTAAAACGCAACCGCGTTTGTCTCTCAACTTGTAACCTCTCTTTTGAGGATGTCCCACGAAAGCTGCCACACTCACTAAGTTTATGTGGATTACTAGACACCATGAAGCTTTTTCGATAACCACTTCTTTAGGACCCTTTCGTCATAAATGATTGCGTTTTGCTCTCAGACTGCTCTATTCTAAGGGTGGGATGCAATATACTGACAAACTTGCTCATAGCTTGATTGACACTATCTTTTACCAGTTTCAGGATAACACCAAACTTTGGCTCAGTACCTTCAACTTCCATACGAGACCTTATCTTCACCCACTTCCTTTGCAGTTGAGTAGGTAGGCGTCTCGCTATTACCTCTAGGACGGAACTTGAGTTCAGATCTCTCATTCAATTCGTCGAAATCAACGCATTCTTGTGAGTCATCAGATTATCTAAAAGCTCAAAGAGTGCCTTGGAGTCATCTTGTAATTGATTACAATTACTGTTAGCAGCCTCGAATACGTTCCTTACAATCATCGAAGATCTTCCAAACCTTTGACGCAGGATACACATCGCCTAAGTATATCCTTCATTTGGCGGAATGAACTTACAACACTTCATAGCTCTTGCAGCAATTCCAGTGCAGTACCTCATCAAATACATCAACTTCATTTCATCATTTAATTCAAGCCCACTCAACATGATTTCAAACTCTTTTACAAATTGTGGATAGTCAGCTGGGTTTCCGTCGAAACACCGATACTCACATTTAGGTAGTTTAAAGTCCCTATTATCCCTAGACGACGAAACATTGACATCAACCTTATCATGCTTGACATCACACACATCATTACATGTAACAGGCAAGTCAACATTACTTACTTTCCTGCTTGCTTCAGAGACACTTTCTCTCTTCTTCGACCCAGGGATCATTGAACCCGACCAAAATTCCAGAAAAGTTCCAGATAATACTTGTCCAAAGAAGACTTGCAAGCACCAGGAAAGACGAACGGAAACTATCCAAACACTATCAGAATCTGTCAGCTAACTCTCATAAACTGTCAATGTCCAGCTCTTACTACGCCGGACCTCACGCTGTCCCTCGTACACTTTCAGAGACAATCCGTGATAACCAACGCGGAAAAACCAGAACACAGATTGGCGACTCGAGAATCATTTATACTGACGTCAATATGTAGCCAACAATAAGGTTATCACACACAAGGTCCAAGAATAAATGTTACAACAATAAATCACGATATTACTTCCAATAGTTTTCTGTCTTCCATCGAGCAGCGAACGATGAGACGATGACAGCTGGATCGATGACTACCGCCAAAAATATAAAGTCGGCTTTGAGCAAACAACCATGAATTGATCGTTCAATCCTCAACGACATTGAAGCTGGTCTTTTTAAGTAATTTGGTATACTACAGAAAGGAACAAGACATCAGCAGTATTTTACTTCATATTCTTAATGCGCAGTGGTTTATTATGAATCCACTGCGACATTAAGTCTTCCATAACTTTCGAACAAATTGTCCTTATTCATGCTTATATAATAGTCTTCTTACACGCATTGGACTTAATTATGTTGGAAGCTGAATATTTTCCAAAGGCTTTTTGAAACACAACTTCACCGTATCACTACACAGTGTGATCACAATAGTACTCCTTTTTCTGTTAAAATGAAACCAGACTGTACTGAATATATCAAAATAAAAATAATGCTGAAATTACGCGATGAGTGAGGACAACAGCGCTTCTTTAAACTGGGCAAATACACTAACATGATATCATAAAAAAAGCAAAAATACACGTTTGACTTTGGAAACTACTGCCTCCTTTAAGGCATGACACTACGCGGATATCAGTATTAAGTGATATTTGCTTGCACAAATGCAGCAAACGTAGCGTGTCGGGAGAGCTTTGTGCTGCCAATGTCACATACGCCGGAAGAATGCTTTAACTGAAAATCGCATTCAAAAACATTAAAAAATATGGGTCATCATTAGACCATCATGGCAAAGTACTCTGACCCTTCAATTAGCTGGTATACACACCAAATCTGGTTTTTTAACTTTGGATAAACTCGAGCATCTTGACGCCAATTTGAGGGATTGATTTCGCTAATGAGTAGCTAAGAACGTGAAGAAGTGATTAAGATCAACCCATACTTACAGGACAGCACTTGTGAAACTGCAAACTGTAGGCCACTCAGAGAATGTGAACTTCTTTGTAAAATTTCAGCTATTATTAGCATCCTTAACATTTCGCTTTTATTCCTCTGTGTGAACAAGCCTCTTCTTCGTCAACTGCACCTTCTACTAGCTAAAGTGAATAATTTTCATCAAAGTGCTGCCACAACTGGGTATGATTGTAGATCACATTTCAGTGACTGTTGTCATTCCTCGCAACAGTTTGAGAGCTATCCCATACAGAAGTACATAATCATGTCATAAAGCTAGTGTCAGTCACGTCTCGTAAACCGTTAATGCCCAGCTCTTGCTACGCTGGGACTCACGCTGTCCCTCGAAGCTTCTCAGAAACGCGTAGTAATAACGGACGCAAAAACCAGAACACAGATTGGCGACTCGAGAATTCTTTATTGTAACACCAGCATATAGCCAACTTTACAACTAAGGTCTATGTACAAATACTACAATAATAAATCACAATATTACTTCTGACGGTTTTGTCCTGACTTCTTTCTGAACAGCGACCGATGAGACGATGACTGGCAGATTGATGCCTCCGCGAATATTGAAGAAGTTGGGTTTGAGTAAACAACCATGAATTGATCGTTCAATCTTCAACTACATTGACAGCTAGCTTAAACATGGATTTCTGCGATACGCGAATCTCGTAATTGAGATAGGCGGTGGTGGAGATGATCGACCAGAAGATATGAAGGTAGGGATAAGGTTAACTCATTTACTTTACATATTATGTCCCGTCCTGTTATATACCACTCGCTAAATCCTTTTATACGTGAATAAATAAACATCACTGCGTTCGGCCCACTTCGATTTTACACCACCACGTATAGTCACACAAAGCTTGATAAATGTCACTTTTTACCTTTTTCGCCTGCCATGTTTATTCTCGTTCCTTGGACAAGAGCTCAAATACCCACCCGTATTGCTTCCTCATAATGAGAACAATGTTTTTAAGACCTGTAAACTCATGATCTTTAACTCTTCAATATCTAAAATAAAGCTGAAACAGAACACTCCAGTCTATACACTGGCCTTACTGCAGATGTTAGGAAAACAGAGAGAAGTTTCAAAAGTGACGTCTTACATTGTTCCTATAATTTACGGTAAATTATGTTGATTATTTAACGAAGAGGACAGAAGCATATCTTCACAGGGTAAACTGTATCAATTTTTGCCAACATAATGCGGCTATTCCTTTTTTGATTTATAATTACGTCTAAATATCCGAAAACAATTTGTGAGGAGAGCTTAAACTTGAAGGTTTGTCCTGTGGTCGAAGAGTTGGTGGTCTGTAAAAGTGCATGTAAAAACTAACCACTTAGTCTTATACACACATCATCTCATGGCAACTTAAAAGCTGATTATTTTGGTTATTAAAATACAAGCACATTTACCTCCTCTCTTACTATGCCTGTATGGCTGCCATGGTAGTCATGAAAAAACCTATAAGACTATATGAAATTCACTTTTAATATGGCTTAGATAATTGCATGATTGCACAGGCATCACTTAAGGAGCTAAGTTTCTTTAAGTCTGCAGAGTACTCATGGCGGGTCTACTAAGAAAATATGTAATAATAAAGCAAATTTGAGTGTTCAGAAAGTTCATTTAAAAGTGATTCACTGTGCTATGCAGAAAATTTCACTGATTTGACTACATAACTTAAAGTGTTCGTTCGGGGTTTGGGCGCGTCAGTTTCTAGTGGTTTGCGACCTAGTCAAAAGCCGCCCAGTTCGAAGTTTCCAAGATTCATTCTGAATTTCCGAAGGTATTTTTAGTCGTTGATATGTGTATTCATGTTGCTGTCCACTGTTAAAAATTTTAACATTAAACGCCCACTCTGGAAAGTTTCTAGTGAACTCGTGTCTCTCTAATTCTTTGGCAGAAACCTTTTATTTTTAATATAGTCAATAGGTAATAGTAAAAATCTGCTTTATTCCAAAAACAGTACTATCGACGAAGCATGGAATTCTCAGAGTTCGTCACAATACTGCATCTAATACATTAAAAATATAAATGAAGTTAACTGCAGGGGTTTGTTTACATTTACTGTAGGAATAAAGTCAAAAAATGTTAAAGCACAAAATGAGAATGATGATTTTAATAATTATAACATTGCGTTTGTTTCAAATAGTATTGTCGATACAGTATAGAAATTTTAACATGTTATAGGGTGTAGAATCTAATTTTCTCTTCATTTATCATGGTGAGGGGAAAGTAAAAAAATAAGAACTATAACAGAGCTTGAATGGTGTTTATGCTTGCGAGAAAAAAATAAAACAAAACAATTGAGGGGATAACAAATATAATAAGAATAATAACAGTAAGATCTGATGGTATAACGGCGGAGAGAATCGGTTTATTTACTAGAGGAAAGAAGGTGAGTTAGTTCATCCTTGACAGTACTTTCATCATATAAAACAATGAGTTTCAGATGCGGTATCGTGGAACTTTTGTACTTAGAAGTGCACGCATAAAGTCTTTTGAAATAAATTCTTGTTCTACCGGAGGAGATGGAAGGTGAAAGCTGCAGGTAAATTGGATGTTGATAGTCCGAAAAAATCCCTGTAGCAAATTTATTGCAGGAAATTAAGCGTCTGTCATCGATGATGTCAACGATATGGCTCAATAGGATACCACTCGACCTAATTTTTGTTATTAATGTGTTATCTGAGCAGAACAAATACCCTACTGTATTTCGGGGATATATCAATGTTTAGTATAGTGACTTGCAAGTCGATAATGGGGCATGTTTTGTATGGATTTTGTTTTGAGGGTTTATACGTCAGACTCGCTGTGTTCGTCTGTTGCAGGTGTATATACAAACACTGCCTTGACTTAACGTAATTTATGGTAACATCTGGGTCATATTTTCTCGTAAAATACTTATTTTATTCACCACAAAATACGTAAGCATTGAATATTTCATTTATGCACTACACTGACTATAGTCATAGAAAGAATCCAAACGTGACTGTAATTACTTTTGAGTTTTACCAGTGCGGCATTTTAAAGCGTTTTAAGAATGGGAGAATAGTAGGACTTAGTGACAGCGTTGTTAAATTATCAGAATGGAAACCAGAACTTTTTTCAGCAGTTATCTGCGAGAAATGATGGCGACTTCTGAGGAGGAGCTAAACTCTTTTGTGAAATTATTAAGTGCATACAGATATCAGTATTAGGTTGAAATTCAGACTTCAATTAAATGGTTATTCTCTGGGCCTCAAATGTAGTTTACATGAAGCCAGATGACTTTTTTCATCCCGAAACTCTTAAAATGTCCTAATTTTCGAGTAAAATAGCTTACTAGTATTGCGTTTTTAAGTGAAGTCATTTACAGACATGAAGTTCAAATAAGTTGACGAGGCTTTAAATATGGACTCTTAGCCAGGCTAGACATAAGTTATACGTCGGAAACACTTGTAATTTTACCCGTTTCAACAGTATTTTAATTAATTTAAAAAACAATTTATGTGATTCATGTTCAATCAGTGTGACACAGTCGTGCCTAAGATACGGTCCTTGTAAAATCCTAGATGCCTCATCACTTCATACCTGCCGGTTTCAATGATTTTTTCGAACCACAATATATTTCATCAATAATACTAGATGGCTGGAGGCAATCGGCAGGAAGCCTTGGACCTAGGTTTCGTGCTGGTTGGCACTCATCAGCAAGGCGTATCTGCAACCTTGAAGGAACTCATTTCCCTTCTGAGATTCGAACTCGCGTCACCCAGTGAAGGCTGCAGTCGGAGACGTTACCACTGAGCTATTCGGGCTCGCGATTGACCTCCTGTAGGAGTCTAGTGGATATTTTGATTTGACACTAGTAACTAGTGTGATGCATCTAGTCTTCTGATTGGTGTAGACTGAATTCTATCAGTCAGGTTGTAATGTGACCACCATTCTAGCTAGGTCGCCATCTAATACTATCAAATCAATATGCACCGTGAAGGCGAGCTAGCTAGAATGGTGGTCACATTACAACCTGACTGATAGAATTCAGTCTACACCAATCAGAGGACTAGATGCATCACACTAGTTACTAGTGTCAAATCAAAATATTTCATCAATGTTCATCGAGAAAATTAGTGACTCAGCATATGTGAAACTTCTCCTAGCCACTTTAACCATTGGGGCCTTACCTTCCTTAACTAGCAATGTACATATAATCTCATTATCAGCTGCCATGCTGCCGGAGTCAACGTAAACAATTGGGTGAAGACGTTGTCGAAAGTTTCCACCCATTTTATATCTTCGGTCTTTAGTGATAGTGTTTTATTGGGGTAAATTATAATACAGAAAACTGCTGGACAGTGGATAATATATTACTGAGCAAAGCTGTACGTTATGAATTTGGTATCGACCAGTCATGCAGCAAGATCAATTCGTACGAATGCTCGTAAGGAGGGCTGCAGAGATCTCACTTGTTTGCTGCCAACTATTTAGGTCTATTTCTACTGTGTAAAATCGACTAACAGTGCAAATACACTTCTCTAAATGAGACACTACATAGCTCATTCGTCGAAGTATTTCAGTGGCATACAAGATACAAACGTCACATACAAAACTGTAACTGAAACTGAAATACAATGATCTATCTTACTGAATTTTCGAATAATAATATTATATCATAAATCACTTCTCCTTAAAGCTTGTTTATGCATAATAGACTGTATTGTCTTCATTTTTTTTCTTGATTATGTTTAGTGGTAGTTTTCGACAGTTCTATGTCGAAAACAGACAGACAGACAGTGGTAGTTCCAGTTTTCATCCATAATATTTACTACAAGCTATACATGATTTGTGCATCGCTGGCACAGCGGTAGAATGCTCGCCAACCATGTATGTGGTCCGGAATTCGATCTCCGGCTGACGATCTCCTAAACTTCACTAAACCGTTAGTAAAGCCGGTAAAGAGGTAAGGTTGGGCATGAGGCTGGCAACCCAATCCCGTATAAACACCCGTAAACACTACTGCTACCGAAACTTCAAGCCTCCAGCTCGAAGCTCTACGTTCCACTGAGAAAGCAGAGGAATAAAAAATTACAAGCTCTTATTAATGTTATACTTTATAATGTAATATAAATTTTATACCGAGCAATAGTTTTTCAATAAGATATAGCTCGCCAAATGGTTGTCGAATTTTATGAACACTATATCTGCTATTTTTTAGCTGTTAAATATTTATTAATGTCTTTCTAAGGTCATATGTCGTAGCTTTATGTTGTTGTGAACATTGTTATTGGTTAAAATACCACAGAAATAGTTGTCTGTTTAACAAACAGTAAATATGCCAACTTTGTGTTTCATATTTTGTTGTGCAACAGAAAGGAACACCATATTAACCAGAATTTATGGCTTTTTTTCACCAACTGATGTGATGTGACTAGACTGTTCATTCTTTTCTCAATTAGTGGCAGTTTTATCATTTCCATTTTTTTCCTTCACGTTCCCCAGTGGAACACAGGGCTCCAAGATATTGGCTTGAAGTTTCTGTAGCAGTGTTTATTATACAAAATGGGGTTGATAGCTTCATGTCCAACCTTACCTCTGCCGGAATTATTTCTGGCTTAGCGAGGGAAAGGGTTGCGTCGGTCGGGGATCGAACCCCGGACCATGTGCATGGTCGAGGAGCGTCCTAACAGCTATGCCACCGATGCACTTATCATTTTGATGCATAAATGTAAAGTAGGGATGGATTCATTCATGCTCCTAATTAGAAACATTTATTTCTTGATGCGAATTTTAAAACATACAAACAACAAATGGTAATGTAAAGCAGGATTTAATGGATTCATCAAATTTCAGCAGAACTGTTCAGCTGAATATGCTGCATAAATTGATATATATATATATATATATATATATATATATATATATATATATATATACAGTATTAGAAATATATTGGGGATATGTAACTTGCATGGAGGATTTCATCATGAGCTGACGTCAGTTATAGAACCAGTGGAAAACCTCAGAGTACTGAACGGCTGTTTCGTCCTAGTCCGGGGCTTTTCATCAGTACGCACCCACCCATGCGATCAAACAAAAATCCTTACAAAACCATTACTTGAAGACATATAACCGACCACCATTTCATTCTGTGTAATCCATTTTTGAAAGCAAACCATGCAGATCGGCGAAGAGGTACGAATGTTTTACAGATGAGGCTTAGGTAAATACGAGAAAGGGTATAAGAGAAATCAGAATTAAGGTAATAATGGATTGGTGAAAAGACTCTTCCCGGAGAATTCATTTTCATATGTAGCATTACAGTCATATTTGTATGCATTTTCTCATGAAAGAAGGTAGTAAGAAAGGTGATGAGGTGTCATATTAGTAGTCAGTGCATGAAAAGAGTCCCGTAAGTGTACTAGAATCACGTGATAAGATGAATAACCTGACGTTTGGGTTGTCATCAGGCTACAAATAGAAATGAAGGAAAATATTGAATTATATCAGACTACTAAAGGAATAAAAGAGTTCTAAGGAGTTGAAAAAAACAAACAAACAAAAGCAGAAATCAGCGAAATTGTTACCATGTTGGCAGAAGTGGTTGAATAACTTTCTTTTGTATGCATAACTCCGGTTTTTCTAACTGAATGGCTAAAGCTTCAGCAATGCAAAGAAAACTAAATTGTATTGATTTTGACAGGTTATACTTCACTCTGTAGATTACTTTCAAGGAGGCAGCATTATGTTATTATCATTTATATAACCATTTTAATTTCAGGTATTCTGCAGCTGATGAGGACCTGTGAAATAGAATGATGATATCATTTTATACTGAAAATCTGGTCTTTCTCTCTCTATCGAAAGTTCCCTTTTTCAGTTAGATGCTTACTGTGTAACAGAAAATTATTTTTTTTACAAAAATAATATTCTCTTTTTATTCCTTTATGTTCCCATAGGAAAATAGGGCGCCTTCAAGCTAGAGACTTGAGGTTTCTATAACAGTGATAATTATTTTTACAGGATGGGGTTGCTAGCTTCATGCCCAACCTTCCCTCTTTACCAGCCTTTTAACTGGCCAACCGAGGTGAAGGAATGCGTCCGTGGTCGGGGATCGCACCCCAGACCACCTGAGTGGTCGGTGAACACTTTACCGCGTGCTACTGACACACTACACAAATAATCTTACAGTCAGTTAATTTTATTGTCTTGTTTTTTTTGTGATTTTTATTTCAAGCATTATGCTATCAAAAGTTTGTTGTATTGGGGCAGGTTATGTTGGTGGTTCAACACTGTCGATTATAGCACATTATTGTCCTGAGCTACAAGTTACCATTGTTGATACATCGCATGAACAAATTAATATGTGGAATTCAGATACACTTCCAATATATGAGGTATTTGGTTTAATTTAATCTGATCTTGTTGTTTTTATTTTATATCTGCGTCGTTTAGTTCTTATTATACTTTAGTTTTTGTCATGTTTCATACAAATACTTGTCAAGGATTTGATCGGTTACAGCACTGATCACAAGGTGTGCATCAGTCGGGAGTAATGGGAGGCTGTTTCGTCCCAATTTGGGAGTCTTCGCCAATAAACAACTACCGGCCTTTGAACCCAGGGCCTTCAGGTTACCCAGGAAGAGTTCGTAGGCCATTGAGCCACTGGGATCCGACCCAGTTGCCCATGAATTCCAACTTCTGCCGATTCATGATAGTTATATTTGGCGCAACAGCCAGACAATGTCACGAGCGTGTTACTGCCCTCTGACCTGACCTGGGGGAACCCACTGGTTACTTCCTGTACATTTATCGGTGAAAATAATTTCAAACTAACTGCTAGGTTTAGTAGGTCAGGAGAATCTAGACTCGTTTAGTGTTACAATGTAAGTCAGTAGTGAGTATGCTAAGAGAAACCCAACTGTGACCTAATCAGAAGAACTGAAACCAATTATTATCCTATTTTTTGTTGTTGAAATAAAATGTCCATCGTTATTGTCAAACTTAAAATGAATTTCACACACACATACATACACACACACTTTAGGTGCAAATAGAATACCTCGTAATTGCATATATCTGTGTGTGTGTGTGTGTGTGTGTAAGCTCCTGATTATCATATAGGTAGTGGCGAGATGTTTATTGATCCCATGTTCAAGCTATAACGGATTTTAGTATTTCTTTCGATCCCTGTGATTTGGTCAGTACATGAAAGAGTTCATTGGTGGTTCAGAGGTGAAATACTCTCCAACCATGCCCCACGTGGTCCGAGGTTCAATCCCTGACCAGTACATCCGTAACCCCCCCTTAAGCTGGTGTTGAATCAAGAACATAAAGGAGATTGAACGGGAAGATAGCATTCTCACCACAACACCATCGCTACTGAAGCCCTACGTTCAACTCGTGGAAGGCAAAGAAAATGAATGCAAGCACTGCATAAAGGAAGATTGACAGTATATTTGAAACCATTTGAAATCATTTAAAACAGAGGTACTTATACCACAGAATATGCATATTTTAAATCACAAGAGATATATTAAATTGACAGTTTCAGAGAAGAAAATTTTCCCTTCGATAAAGTCACCAACTAGATAGCTGTACATAGGTTAGAAAGTTCCATAATTATATCTGACCACCTTCGCTGACTCAGTACTGAAGATCAAATGGTCAGCTAGGAAGAATCAACCACAAGGAACTCTGGGAACCAACCAACCAGCCAAACAAGAGTGTATTGATCAACAAATATGTGGAAGGAAACGGAGATAGATCGGATACGCCCCACTGAACAGACCGTCGAATTAAATTGTGTAGCAGATCATAGTTCGAGTGGAACCTGAATAAGAAGGGAGCGACGAGTTGGGCGTGGTTTTGACGGTGGCATAGAGGAGGTCATGTGAGTTGGAGGAGATCAAAATCTACGGGCAATTGTGGGATCAGATAGATAGGAGGATTGCAGAGAATAGGTCGAAGTAGAGATGTGCCGTTGAAGCCATGTGTTCCACTCGTAACCCAGGGGAACAATAATAATAATACTAAAACATTAAATAGTCGGTCTCATAAATATGGTCAACAGGGTTTATATAAATTTAGGTACTGTTTTACTGACTAACTATTAATAACCTATAGGTATTGTTGCTAAAGCAATGCTAATAGTGATAATAATAATAACAACGATAATAATAATAATGAGGATAACGGCAGTTAACAAAAGTACTATTGACTTCAAAAACAATTAAAAGTGTTTACGTAAGCACTTATAGCCGTTTATTTACGCTACCAGCATATTTAACTGAATAAAAATAAAAATAGCTTCTCAATTAAAAACAATATTATCTGAAAATCCTATGATGTTTTGCATTACAACTAGAGTAGAAGGCTAGAACTTTTCATTTCTGTTACACCGTGTGAGTTTTTCAAAGGTAAACTTTGACGTGTACAGAAGACTCGTTTGGTTGCTATTCGCCAGATTACTTTACCTCGGACTTAGACGTGATATCCGGCTGGCTATCGATCAGATGACGTTTGTACTACACATCGATTCACTCTGTTCTCCTTTATGGCTGTAAGATATAACCATAGAAAGCTTGCTGTCTTCGACTACAGGTGTTTTCGTTCTGTCTCCCATGTTAAGTGGTACAATATGGTAAGTAAGATTGAGGTTAGGCGTAGAGTGCTAGTGAAAGCTGACTGCCTGCCTGCCTGCCTGACTGACTGACTGACTAGTTTCAACATAGAACTTTGCACAGAAGTGCTGCAATACTTCGAGTTACCACTCTCTCTCTCCACGCAGCATATATGTCTGTTTTCGACATAGAGCTTTGTACATATGTGCGGCAGTTCAAGCCGCCACACTCCATGTAGCACACAAAGCAAGAGAGGAAAATAGAAGAAATGCATATTAGAGACAGTAAACAGAGGTGTGAGACAAAGGAATAGTAATAACGAAGAACAAAACAGTTTCATTGGAAATCATAAGTCACAAGGAGTGGATGCATCTACGCCAGCCATTGAGAACTATTTTGAGCCATATCATCAATTGTTTCCAACCATTGGTTTTTACCGTTCCGAGGACCCCAACCAGGAAGTCTACACCTTCCTACGTGGCTGGCTTAAACTAGCTGTTTTGGATTTCATTGACTGGTCCCATGTTTTTGTTTGACCTCCGCTAGCTCTTTTCCAGCCTGACCCTATATCCGCTAACATTGCTCGTCGAGGAAGGCGATGACTAGGCATACGTAACACATGTCCTAACCATCTCAGGCGATGTAGCTTCACAGCCTCGTCGATTGATTTCCACTACTTACCTAGAACTCGACACCTAAACTCAATATTGCTCACCTTATTATACCACTTCACACTGTAGATAGAACGCAGGCACCTATGATCAAAGATAGCAGCACGTATAACAGGAGAGGAAAGTAAAGAGACATTCAACAAAATAGATAAAATAAACAGACGTATGAGTGAGGGGGAAGAACAATAGAATTTTATTGGATGTAACAAATCACAAAGAGTGATTACATATGCACCAGCCATTAACGATGATGATTTTGAGCTATATCTCTAATTGTCTCTAGCCATTGGATGCCACCATCCTGATGATTCTAACCAGTCAGGCAGTCTACACATATTTGGCTCAAGCTAAGTGTGAAAGATTTCGTGGACTGATGACGCCATGTTTTGGTTTGACCGTCACTATCTCCTATCCAACCTAATCTTACGTCTGCTAACATTGCTGGTCGAGGAAGGCGATCGATGGCTAGGTATGCATAACACAACGTATGTCGTAACAATCTAAATCGATGTAACTTCACTGAGTCATTGTCTGAATTTCCTTCTTTGCCTAGCACTCTACTCCTAACGGAGGGGATAGAACTCAGACATCTATGATCAAACAAAGTTAGCCTTTTCAATAGAAGGTACTCATATTTGAAGCATTCCAAAGTATAAGTACTTTTTTATGCTTATGCGTTTTGAAGCCCAGTTTATTTAAAAATATGGGCATAAGAGGAGGACCTTGTTGCATATAAGCAACACGTTCATTATTTAAGTTACATTATTTAAGGGTGGTTCTATAGACCACATCAGAAACTGATGTGCCATTATTGAAATAATTTCATTTATGTGCTTAAAAATGACAGATTTATCATCATCATCCGACATCTTAAGTTGAATTATTTCACCAAAATTTCCTTGAGAAACCGAGATTACTCATTTATCATTATTGTTCGCTTGAGTTCCGAGTGGACCATACGGCTTCAGCAACAACACATCTCCACTGTCTTCTACTTTTTGCCATCCTCTCCAGCTGGGTTCACGATAGATCATAATCTGTCATCTCTACCTCCTTCTTCAACTCACACACTCTCCTCCATGTCCTTCTCTCACTAACGACCAACTCGTCGCTTTGCCATTTGGATTACACTCGAGCAATGGCCTACGTTGGGCGCGATGTCATCCGATGGTCTCCTCAACGAATGCCCGACCACTCTTACTTCATTTTGTCTTATATATTTGTTGAGTGATCGGTTCTTGGTTGGTTTGTTCCAAGAGTTTCTTGTTGCTGATTCTGTCTGGCCAGACATTTGATCTTCAGTAGGGAGCCAGAGAAGGAGGCAGCTGTTGATGCTATACTGTAACTTATTGAAAATCATTTATATGACACAGTGAAAGCTTCTGACCCGTAAAGAAGGACCAACTTGACATTGGTGTTGAAAATGCGAATCTTGTTCCTTATGCTGGCTGAGTGCAGAAGATTTCCAAACTGGTTTCAGGTTGATAAAGGCGTATATTGCCTTTCCGATTCTGACTGGTGTTGACATCTTCATCCGTTCCGACTGTATGTGGTTGAAGCCATGCTTGCTAAATAAGTAAAAGAAGTAACCTCTGTCAAATCTTTCCTCTTGATGGCGATTAGTGCTGAGTGTTGTAGCTGTTGCTGTTGGTTAGTTACCTTCATCATCTCCGCCTTCTCTATGTTCACTTGTAGTCCTATCTTCGCAGCCAGATTCTCCTGCCATTTTGTCGATTTTTGCCTGTAAGTCCTTCGAGTTTCTGTGATATAAGACATATATCATATATGAAATCCAGATCTTCTAGAGTCTTCCTATTGGTCGAGCGTATTCCTGTCTTCTCTCTCTCCCAACGAACAGTCTTCCACACAGTCCAATCCATCACAATTAGGAATATCATCGGTGATAATAGGCAGCTACCCTTGTCTTACTCCTGTATTCATTTCGAACGCCTCGCCGAGTTTTCCGTTGTGGATCACCTGACACGTGGCATTGTCATATAGCCAGCTGTTGAATGAGGTTGACAAAGACTTGCGCTCTGTACGCCTTAGTGTTGAAATAGTTTCCAAATTACTTCTCTGTCATACCATAAATGGTAATGAAGAAAGCAAGCATACAAACGCATAAAACTGTATACTACTGAACGACTCAGGTGAGTAGTCGTTGTATGCCATCACTCACATCAACCACTGTAATGGTTACTAGCCAAATCGAATTAACCTATTCACTGAACGGCCAAGCCTATCAACAATGTACCCTGTTTCAACTGGTTCAGTCCAGTACTTATGTGTTACAGTGTAGAATTCTCAGCATTTGGTACAATACTGCATCTAATTTACTTGACAACAGCAAAAACCAACAAAAATATTACAGCGTACAGGTAACCAGAATTAATCAATAACAGATTTTTGGTATTAGCAGTGACAATAAAGTCAAAACTCAAAATAGTGATAATAACGTTAATAGCTAAAACTATAAGTGAATTGAAATATTGTCACCATAGATTACAAACAGGAGAGGATAAAAGAGCCAATTATTTTCCTAATAACATGTTAAGTCGTAGGTTTCAAGCCTAACTCTATCTCTATCACATAAAACGCTGGCAGGCCTATCTGGTGAGATGGAAGGTGCGGATAGTTGAGAATAGAGAGGGTGTTGAGAGTGCCCGACAATGTGGATTCAGACCATTTCTCACATGAGCTCAGGTGTCTGTCGACTACAGTAGTAAGTAGTTGCCCGACTTAGTAGTGGCACACTACTTATCCTACTGACAACCACCTTGAATACCCTTCAAAATACGACATAGTCCTTTTTGCGTAGCCCAGAAAAGAATGAGAGGAGCAGTAAAGAACAATAGGTAAGATGCAAGAGTTAACAAACTGTAAAATTAGAGGTTGAGGGATGCCTACCTGATTGTTTTGACTTCTTAATATAGTAAGGTTAGACGGAACACTTTTTTCGAAATCGACAAGATATGGGATGACTGAGCAGGAAAGGTTAGAGGTTAGAAGGCTAACTTAGTATCTGTTTCAATGACTTCTTTGCTACATGTAGCATCTTTTGAACTGACTAGTTTGTGTAGATTGAGTTTATGCCTGAACATTAACACCAACAACTCGAGAGAGAGGTTATTAATACAAAAAGACAGTAGCATTTTAGTTATGTCGTTTGATGAATACCATTATTTCTGTCTCCCATGAAGTACATATCTCTCTAAGATTCAATATGTGTAACAAGCAAAGCAGCAGACACACAGGTAATGAAAACAGAACACAAGCTGTGCAGGGGGACGTTTATTCCACGAAATCAACTTTTAAAATGTGCGCGAGTCCAGTCTTAGGGTATAACAGTTTTACTGGTCTTCGTTAATGTTTAGCTTCTACAATTCTTGTATCTCTCCTGGTCCAGATAGTTGACTGCCGAGTATCTTCCTGCAAGTAAACAAAATAAAACATCGATTAGTGTTTATTTTATAGGTTTTGTTTTTATTACATATCATTCATTAGCGGTGATTTTATACTTTGGACTTGATTGTTTGTACTCTATTCGTATCATATTATTGATATATTTAAACAAAAAATATTAGATTGCTTGTAATTGTTAAAAAAATAAGTATATTGAACACTATTGAGTAGTTAAATAACTCTTAGACTGATTTACAGATACTGACATTCAAATTTATTATTATTATTTAGTATTGTTCTCTTAGGTTCCAAGGGGAGCATAGGATTTTAACAGCACACTTCCACTTTATCCTGTTCTCCGCAGTATTCTTCATCTGGCCCCACTATTCCCCATAGTCTCTCATCTCCTCCTCACACGACTGCGTCCATGTCACCTTCAAAACCACGCTCAACTCATCCCTTCTCATTCGGATTCCACTCGAGCCATGGTGTGGTGAACGATGTCAACCAACGGTTCCCTCATTTGCAAGTGTGTCCAATCCATCTCCGTTTTGTCGAGAAGTCGGTTCTTGATTGGTTCGTTCCAAGAGTTTCTTATTGCTGTCTCTTTCTGGCTGGTCATCTGATTTTCAATATGGAATCAGAGAAGATGGCAGCTGTTGATATAAAAGTCTTCACTGGCCTGTTCTAAATGCTTTTTGTCACACGCTAATCATGTTCATGATCCATACAGAAGAAGTGACTGACTCAATTAACTTTGGTGTTGAAAACTCGGATTTTGTTTTTGATTGGAGCTAATTGGAGCAGATTTCTAAACTGTTTTTTCAAAGTGATAAAGATGTAATTCGCCTTTCTGATTTTGGTTTTGACGTTCTCATTCGTGCCGACTTCCGATGCTGCATAGTCAGGTGAAGAAAGTGGCGTCTTTGGAATTTATTGCATTAATATTGTTTAGTGCTTGTTGTTGTTGATAAATTATCTTCGTCACCTCCGTCTGCTCTATGTTCACCTGGGGTCCTGTCTTTGCTATTCTCTCTGCCAATTTTTTTGTTTTCGCCTGCATGATACGAGAGATAAATCATCCAAGAAACCTATGTCTTCTAGGGTCTTCTTATCGGTCAGTTCAACGTATTCATGTCTTCTGGTTCCCCACGGATAGTGTTCCATATAATCTAATCCACCTCAATTATAAATATCGTCAGTGATAGGAGGCTGACAGCCTTTTCGTACTCCTGTATTCACTTCAAACGCTTCGCTGAGTTTTTCGTTGTGAATCACCTGACACATTCTATTGTCACTTCTTTGCCGGGGTTATTAAACACTCGGCAAGGTTTAAGGGTGTGTCATCCGCGAATGGGACCCTAACCTCCTCTGTAGTAAGTGGTCATTGTACAATTCCACGATAGTTACGAGTACACCATGATGTAATCTCATCGAACAAGACCGAATTGTTTGAATCTGATTAATTAAGTTTACTCAACGTGTTTTTCAAGGTTGTCTTTTGTTCTAGACGGATGTATTAATGCCTTTTAACGAGTTTCGCCTTTTCAAAAAATAATCTTTATGCTTCAAAATGTGTGATAATTTTAGCGGATTTGTCATTCATATACTATTATTTCTATTATTGTTTAGCCAGGTCTTGATGAAATTGTCCAGTTGCATCGTGGAAAAAATTTACACTTCTCTGCAGATATTGACAAAGCTATAGATGAAGCTGATATCATTTTCATTTCTGTAAATACTCCAACAAAGAATTGGGGCCTTGGAAAAGTAAGTCATTGCAATGGCATAGTTGAACTTTAAAACAAAGTGTTTTTAATTGCTGTTTTTCCGCGGGATTTTTATTCAGTTATTGGTTTTGTAAGGATTTTGTTTGATTGCATGGAGGATTTCATTCATCATGAGCTGACATCATTTAGAGAACCACTGGAAAACCTGGGAGTACTGGACAGCTGTTTCGTCCTAGTTTGAGACTCTTCATCGGCACGCATCCACCGGGGCTCGAGTCCTAAACTAGGACGAAACAGCTGTCCAGTACTCCAAGGTTTTCCAGGGATTTTTATTCGTTTCTGGTTTAATCGTTAACAGACATCAGTTAGAGAACCACTGAAAGCCTACACGAGGCGCTGGGCAGCTGTTTCGTTCCACCAGTTTGGGACTAATCGGCAGTACTTATCCAGAGCTAGGATTTTAATCCAGGAGCTTCTGGCTACAAGACGAGCTTGTAAACCATTCAGCTACTGAGATCCGACTAAACGGTCAGTGATTTCTAACTTCTAGGAATTCGTGATATTTTTGTAGCACGACCACCAGCCTCTGTCAACCTCGCAGAGTATTAATCCTCACTTCCGATCGGGTGGATTCACGACTTCACACCAGTCAACTTCGTCCTGTGGCCAGTAACTAGCTAGCATCACATTAATTCTCACGAGTTAGATTATGAGGATTTGATTGGTTTCCATTTCGACCATGAATTGAAATAGTGCTCACTACTGACTGGTTAAAGGAGAGAAATTCGTGGCGACGTCATGACCAGCGGTGTCTATCCTGTTGGGAGTGAGGACGAATACTTGCTAGCGATGTCATTGACTAGTACTGGTCGTACTAAAAATATCACGTATCGGTAAAGGTTAGAATTCACGGGCAGACCATTTAATGGGATCCTAGTGGTAGAACAGCTCACGAGCTCGTCTCCTAACCAGAAGGCAATGGGTTCGAACCCTGGTGGTGGATAGGTACTGCCAATGAGTCCCAAACCGGTGGGAGGAAACAGCCCTCCAGTACTCCCTCGTGTTTTTCCAATGGCTTTTTAAATGAAGTCAGTTTTCGATCAGACTGTTGATACGTGTCCGCTCTTAGTATGACTACTACTATAATGTCCAGAGATTAAGGTGGTGCTATTTAGTTTGTAGTAACTAGCAGTGGAATCAAGAATGAGCGTTTCCCTCTACTAGGAACTCATCAACCGATATACCCGCATCCTTAGGTAATGTTGGAGTTCCCGCTAAGACCGGAATCGACCACCGATCGTTTCAAACACCAAACGGTTAACCACTTACTGGCCTTATATAAGTACTTATATATGTTTACCTGTGCGAAACGTTGGGAACTACAATCCCAACATTAGTCACTAAAAAGTATAATTTCTGAAATATAATCACTTTGATAATTGGGATGTTAGTACTAAATACACGTCATCATTAAAATGAGCCTAATTGGAGTGTTCTCATCGACTACGATCGAACATAACCTATTTACGTTTGTATTAACCGACTACTTAATTCTATTAGTAGTTTATATCGTTTTATCAAGTATTGGCTTACAGCAAGGATTTGATTCGATCGCTTACAGGATGGATTACGAGTCGACATGAGGTAGAGAACAACCACTGATAAAACAATCATGGAGTACTGGAATCCGTTTCGTCTTAGACTGGGAATCTTCATCAGTACTCACCTACCACCATAGTTCGAACCAAAGGCCTCCCACTTTTGTTTTAATCTTCTAGTTTAGATAAGAGTAGATTTATAGAGAAAATAGTTGAGAAAAAAAAACAAACTAATAAAATCTTTAAGCTTAATCAAAAATCGATAATGATCAGTAGTTATATATTTTATTTTACTGTCTCTTCATAGGCAGAGGTTGTTTTGAACTCTCTTATCATTAGAAATAATGATTCCTGATAATTGTTTTTGATACTTTGAACCTCACTAGACTTAATAATTATTGTACTGTAATGCTTATCGGAACAAAAAGTTTAAAATTGGTGATCTCATTTCATATTTAGACCAATTGGATAAAATTTTTATTTTGATAAAATCACATATACCATTCAGCCACTGGGAACCGATTCAATGGCTCATGAATTCTAACTTCTACCAATTCGTGATTTAGCGCGACCCCAACTATTGTCGTTGGTGGGACATCCATCCACACACCTCATTGGTCACGAATTCTCACTAGAACTCAGGAAACTCAAAACTGTAGTAAGTCACTAGCGAGCATCAGATTAGTTTTCTATAGTATACGAGCTTGCCTTGTAACCGGAAGGTCCTGGGTTCGAATCCCAGTGAGTGCGTACTGGCGATGATTCCCAAACTAGGATGAAACAGCAGCTGTCCAGTACTCCCTGGTTTTCAAGGGTTCTCTTACTGATATCAATCCGTGATCAACTCGTAAAAACATAACTAACCCTTACAAACCAAACTGTAGAAAATCACATGTTGTGTTGTAGAGTGATATTTACTGATGACCACGTTTTAAGCATAAATTATTGCTCATAATCATATTAGGGTATTTACATAACTTTCTTGCTTCCAAACTTTATTCATTCTATTTTGATACGAAGCATTTTTGTATATGTTACCTAGTTGTGCTTTAAAAGGCCTACTGTTTATATTGTTACTTCCAGTAGTAGCCGACTTCTGTTCGGCTCCTGAGGATATTAGTCAGGAATATTCGTAGGTCTATTCACTGACTGACTGACTGATAAAGCGTTGGTAATTGAGGTAAATAATGCCTAATAATCATCTAATCATCAGAAATATTATAGACATGATAGCAGAGAGAAAAATTTTTCTTTTCGACGAAGTCATCAACTAGACAGCTATACATTCGTCTACGTCGGTGGCACTGCGGTAAGGATTCTCGCCGACCATGTACATAGTCCGAGGTTCGATCCCCTGCCGACGCACACCCGATATCAATGGTTGGCCTGCAAAATTGGGCTACCGATATCATATACTGAAAATTCCATACTTGTACCAAAAATACGATGTGGAATCAAGGTATAATAAAAAAATGTATATATCATCAACTATCAGCGAGCTACATCTCTACAAGAGAAACATTCATAATACTTTCATTATTTGTGTTGGCAAGCTGGATCTCGGAAACCTATTTCAAACTTTCAATAACGTCCACTTAACACACTGACCTCACTGTCGGAGTTGAATCTGATGCAATGCGCCATAAGAAATGCTGATAAGTACTCGCTGAAGAGTTCCACATAAAAAATGCCCCACATGAAATGAATAATTTCACAATATTTAGAGTTGTATTCCTCTAAACAGAAAGAGTAACCTCTATTCCCTCAAAGATCCGGAAAATAATGTGCCGAGAAATCAACTGATGAAGAACTACAAAATCTCCGAGGAATCTTGATGGAAAACGGTTTCCTACCCAGATTCAGGTTCAAGTCATCCCCAAATTCTCCGTCAACAGATTTTGAAATAATCTCAGTAAAATATGCTTCACCTCCAGCCTACAAGTGATATATTTCTTGCAAGAAATCATTCAATCAGCACGTGAAAGACAAGCTATTACACACTGAGTCACTTTGGCATGCGTAAACAACCAGTCCATTAACTCTTGTGGAACCGAATACGCTTGGGGTATCATGCGTTTACTTGTAAAATGCCCTCTGGAGCACTATCAAGCCTGTCTGCCAGCAAAGAGAGAACGCAATTATTATATATAAATATTTAGGGGAATTCAAGATATCCAGATACGTTTGAAATATCCTTCAAAGTCATATACATGATCCGAGCAAACCTCTCAAAGGGAGTGAGATCAAGGGATCTGGCTGGGCATAGCTGAGGCACTAGCTATCTGAATGTTGAAGCCCGCGTTATATATTCCAAGGAAATAAGTCCACCTATTGTCCCTACGATGGTCATCATAAACAGTCGATTCTCTGAATAATGATCATCGTGTTACCCTTCTTATTCAATCTTCCTGTTTATTTGTGTTATTTTTGTTTGTTTTTAATTCCTATTTGCACTATTTTTGTTTGATCCGGATTTCCTTGCCACCTTTTTATTACTACCTTTCTAATCCCCAACTGTAAAACAGTTATCAATTTTCTCAGTACTTGTGATCCTACCACGTTTTTACCCGATCTTCGTGTTTATTTTGCTATTATCACGTTTTGATCCCTAATTGCAGTTTTATTCATTTGACCGTTGACCAGATATAGTTGTAGAACCTTCTCGCTCATTTACAATAAACGCACGGATGTACAGCTATCCAGTTGATGGGGACTTCCTCTAAAAGAAGCATTTGATTCTCTGCAACCGTCTTTTTTATATGGCCCATGATCTAATAATAATAATAATAGTCTACTTTATTCCAAAAACAGTACTTATAATACAGAATGGAATTCTCAGCATTTGTCACAATATTGCATCTGATTTACACTTAAAATATAAATAAAATTAAAAATTAAAACAAAATTAACCAGACGAATTTGTCCACTTTTACGATATAAAGTCAAAAATATTCGAAGCACGAAATGAGAATATTAAATGTAATAGTAATAATAATCACGGTGAGTTTGTTTCAAACAGTATTGTCGATTCAGTTTGGAAACTTTAGCATGTTATAGATTATTGGATCTAATGTTCTGTTGATATAGCAGCATGGTGAGGGGAAATACAAAATTAACAGTTATTCACACTGCTTAAATTATGTTGACACTTAGGAAAAATAAATAAATAAAAACAAAAAATTGATAGGATTATAAATATAAGAAGTACAATAACAATAAGGTTTGATGGTGTAAGGGTGGAAGAAATGGTTTATTTAGTAGTGCAAAGAAGGTTAGTTATTTCATGTCTAACACTATTTTCATCACATAAAGTACGTGCCAAATATGGTGTAGTGGAATTTTTATACTGAGACGTACGTGCATAAAGTCTTCTGAAAAGACTTCTTGTTTTACCTGAGGAGACACAAGGTTGGAGCTGCTGTGGGGTAAAGTGGATGCTCGTAGTCAGACAAAATTCCTTTGGAAAATTTGTCGCATGAAATCAAGTGCCTACCAATGATTGTATCAACGATATGGCCCAATGGGGTACCACTCGTCCTACTGACAGTCTTCAGATTTCTACGAAGTATGACATAGTCTTTTCTAATCAATCCAGGAAAGAATAAGTAAGGGTGAACAGTAAAGGCGAATAGGTAAAATACACGAGTTGACAAACTGTGAGTGGAGGAGAGGTTGGGTTATGCCTGAGTGCCTCAACTTCTTAATGTAAAAAGTCAGACGAAATATTCTTTTAGAAATCGCTAAGACATGGGAAGACCAGGATAGGTTAGTAGAAAGAATTAATCCAAGATACCTAACTTCAGACTTGATTTCTATATCAATATCATCAATTTTGCAAGGGTCTAGAAACAAACGGCTTCATTTAGCTTTCTTTCACATTGTAAACTGAAATTAACAGTCTGACATTTGGAAGGATTTAGTTTAAGTCCATTAGACGAAGACCATTTGTAAATTTCTGATAGAAAGCTATTCATTCATCTTAGTACAGTCTAACTGGGAGTTAACTGACATTGAAATAGTCAGATCATCGGCATACTTAACAAAGTTCATTTCATCAGAATGAGGCAAGTTATGCAAGAAGAAAGAGAACAGAAAAGGAGAAAGGACAGCATCTCAAAGGACACCAACCTCAGTAAGCAATGGAGTGGACGACTTCCACTGACATACAGTGTACTGGTTTCTTCCTGAGAAATAAAAATGCAGCCATTTGACAACCCAAGAGTGAGTTTGAGTTTCAACAAGCTTGTTTAACAAAATGTCCCCAGGTACTGATGTGTGTATATATTCCGTAATCATCTCATCACAATGTATTAAATAATGGAAACAGAGGAACTCATTGGCTTTAGCACTCGACTTTTAGTTAGTGGCCTCCAGACTTGGTTGGCTGTCCGCACATACTTCACTCTAGGCAACTGGGTACTATCACCAGCCCTAAGTTGATAAATGTGACTCAAATTCTAGTACATAAATGATCTCTTCCGGGTAATTGAATTCTAGCGGGTTATTCAGCACAACCTATAAACTGTATCGGTGATGCACCGATAGAATGCTCTCCAACCACGCCGCAATTGGGCTGGGGTTCAACTCCTACCGACGAACTCCTAAACCTTGTATAACCGGCAGTTAGCCCGGAAGAGATGGGCTGGAGTTATAGTTGTCAGGCTTGCGATCCCACCCTGTAAAAATAGAGCCACTACCGCTGAAATTTCAAAGCTGTAGCCTAAAGCCCTACTTTCTAGTCAGAATGCAAACGAGTAAAAGAATAAAGGCAGATTCAAAGTAATAACACAAATAATTTTTGAACATATGAAACAGGTTTAAGTTTTTTAATTGCTTTAGCTTCAATGAATTCAAGTATACCATTGGAAGCAAATGTATGACTCGTCTCTATGGTGTACTTTGCGGTAGATGATGTTGAGCATCTGTTTCCGGGGATATACTTCAATCAGGCCGATTTTATTTGTTCTTGCAGCTACCTGACACGCAGAGATCGTTAAGTCCGCCTTATGTACATGTGACCACATATATATTTAAATTGGTAAACACGCCCATTGGTATGTGATGCTATCGTCAGGATACTGTCACCACATACAGGGCTACATAAATCTCGTCTTCTTTCTTCTATGAAAATGACTGTCGCTGCATAGTGAGTTTTGTTGAGCACCGCTCTGAGCCTTTGTTTTTAGCGATTATCCTTGAACAGACTGATGTAACCCTTTGATTGACGTCTCTGCGTAATCGTAACTCCAAATGCTTCAGGCTCTGGTGTAGACGTGATATCCGGCTATCGACCGAATGACGTGTGTACCGCTCAGTAGTCCACTCTGTCCTCCTTCATGGCTGTGAAACCCGGCCATTGAAAGTGGGAGACATGAAAAGGCTAGATATCTTTGAGCATAGGTGTCTGCGTTCTGCCTCCCATGTTAAGTGGTACAATACGGTGATCAACATTGAGGTTAGCCTTCAGTTGAGTGCTAAGTAAGGAGTGGAAATCAATAGACGAGGCTGGGAAGTTACATTGGTTGTGATGGTTAGGACCGTGTTTCGCGCATGCTAGCCTAGCCATCGCCTTCCTCTACAATCGGCAATGTTGGGAAAGGCCTAGTGGTGGTCAAACGAGGACATGGCTTCATCAGTCAATGAAATCCACAACAGTTAGTTCAAGCCGGCCAGCCACCTAGGAAGGTGTAGACTTCTTAACTGGTTGAGATCCTTGGGACGGTAAACATCAATGACAGCTGGAGACAATTAGTGATATGGCTCAAAATCGTCGTTGTTAGTGGCTGGTGCAGCCTCCAAAGCCTCAGGATGGTCGGGGGTGGGTGCCCTGCGCTGCGGGTTGGCCACCCCTCCGCACACCTCTTGAAATGCTCCCATATGACCGGGCGTCTTACATAGCCTCTCCTGAGGAAGTCCTACTCACTGCCTTCACGTGGCGGAGGTGTTTCTCACCAAAGTGAGAGGGCGAAAGCGGATGCCCGGCGCTCTCCACCGGGTTGACTGTCCATTGGATGACGGTCTAGGGGAGATGGCTAAACCCTGATTCCAAACCTCCAACGACTGGCGTATGAAGCTCACTGGAGCTCACCGGCAGACGTATGGACAAAGGGCTTGTTGGATGTCCTGGATGTCTGGCCCCATTCAAAAAGGCGTATGAACCGAACTCCGGTCACCGGCTGCCAATGGATAGTGGACTCCTTACTCCACTCCTACTGCCTTGTAGGTCACACTTGGCTGTGTAAAGGCTAGAGCTGCACTCTCAAACAAAAGGCCGAGCGATTCTGGGGACATCACTCGTACCAAATTCCCATGAAACTTCATGAACTCTCTTACAAATTGCCGCGCCTGGGCAGCGATGATTCGAGACGTTCATGAAGCCGGCTCATCCTCCCGTAGGAGATAGCCGAAGTAAAGCGAAAAAAAAGCTGGTGCAGATGCATCCACTCCTTGTGACTTATAATATCCAATAAAACTATATTGTTCTTCGATATTACTATTCTTTTTGCCTCATATCTCTGTTGGCTGTCTCTATTTTGCATTTCTTTTTACTTTCTTCTCATGCTTTTTGTGCTAAGTGGAGTGTGGTGACTCGAACTGCTGCACATCAATGCAAAGTCTTACGTTGAAACCAGTAAATCAGTCAGTCAGTCATGCTTGATAGCTTAATATTTTTATGACTCTTTTAGATGTTTTTCTGCAAACGTAATAAATTTAGCAAAATATCACAATGCATTTTTTTACATAGTGTAATCTTGTGTATACTCACTATTTTCTCTTATCATCTTTTAGGGCAGAGCAACGGATCTGAGTAATTTAGAAGCTGCTGCTCGACGGATAGCTAAAGTCAGTCGACGACCAAAAGTTATTGTAGAAAAGAGTACAGTGCCCGTGAAAGCCGCAGAGACAACCAGCGCAATTATTCACTTTGAGTCGAAATGTCATCAAAATAAATTCAACTGCACAATGAATGGTTTTGATATAGATGGTGATAATTTGACACAGGTGATTGTTTTGCACACACACACCCTCCATTTGTGGTGGGGGGTAGGGGTTGGATTTTTGACAACTGTATTCATTTTTCCGTATTTTCTTGTTCTATGTTTCTGCATCTTAGGGAATAAAAAGACAGTTGCGGCGAAGAAAATTTTCTTCTCGACGAAATCATCAACTAGGAGGCTGTACATTCGTGTATTTATCAATAAATGGGTGGGAAAGTTCCCGAGTAATTTCTGATCAAGGGTCAGATTAGTAGAATTACAATTAGGAATTGAAATTCCATAATTAACAGGGGGACGAATAAAGCTCAAACAAAGTAGCCTCATAATTACTGAGAAGATTGACATATTGTGCAATTAGAGGTTAGAAATGTAGAAATAACAACAATAGACAGGATGCTTGGATAACAAAATCTAGTGGGATCATAACTAATGTAACGAATAATTGTTTATGCAATCAGGGATTAAATATGTAGAAATAATAAAATAACAAAATAGACAGGAAGTTCGGATGTGAAAATATGGTAGTGTAAATAGGGGTTAAGAAAAACTTAAAAATAACATGAATAAACAGGAAGTTTGGATAAGAAAGTCAGTGCGATAGTCACTATTAGAAGAATTACCTGTTTATGATGGCCACGGCAGGAACAAGGGTTGTACGTATTTCTTTTGGATACAAAGCGTGGGTTTGAGCTTTTGGATAGCTAGTGCCTCGGCTATGCCCAGATGTCCTAATTTTACTCCCTTTGATAGGTTTGATTGAATCTTGTATATTACTTTGAGGGATTTTTCGAAAGGCGCTGAATGTCCTGAATTGACCAGATGTTCTGTCACTGAACTGTGTAGACGTTTTTGGGCTCCTCTTACTAGCCAGGCTGGATAGTGTTCACGAGCGTGTTTTTCAAGTTGATGCATGGTACGGCCGATGTACTTAGCTCCGCAAGAGCAAGTAAACTGGTATATGCACGTTGAAGTGGCCCAATGCGATAGCCTGTCTTTCGCGTTCTGGTTGAACAGTTTCTTGCAGGAAAACGTCATTCGTAGGATCGCGGCGAAGTATGTTTTCCTCAGTGATTTGGAGAGGCGTTTATGAAGGATTTCTGCTTCAATGTCGCCTTTGAATTCTAGATTAAGCAGAAGTATCTTCTTCGGGAAGGATTGAACTTGTTTGGAGGTCTTCTTTGATTTGAGGTTCTTGGCTATGAACCTAGGTGGAAAACCGTCTTCCATCAGGGTTCTTCGGAGATTACTCAGTTCTTCATCGCTGCATATCTTCCGAATCCTCGAGGAAAGAGCGTATATCATGTTTCTCTTTCTGTCTAGGGGCACGAAGCTTACAAAGTTGATGAATTGTCCATTCCATGTGGGCTTTTTATACATCACTCTGTTTATTGGATGGGTCAATTGTTGGTTTGCAGCAGGCATTCTATTGGTTACAGATCTAATCATGAGTTAGGGAACTATTGAAAACCAGTAGGGATAATTAGACAGCCGTTTCCTTCTAGTCCGGTACTCTTCATCAGTGTGCACCCACTGCTAGGGTTCAAACGCAGGACATTCTGGTTAGGAGGTTAATTCGTAGACCATCCAGCCACTGCTAGCCGAACCGATGATTCATGGATTCCATCGTTTGCCAATTCGCTACAGCTTCTCACACAATGAAGAAACAGTGTTATTTAGTGGATAATGACAGTTTGAACACAATTTATTGTTCGTAATCATAGCAATCATAAGCACACGACTTCGAAACTTGAGTCTTATAGTTTCCTATGTTCTCTTCTATTTGTCGTCGAAAGGGTAGGAGAATTTTCCAGATATCCGACTGGACAGGTGTTGGATCATTCCCACTACACGTATTTGCAGGTGATTCGATAACTAAAGCTTCTGTTACCAATCTCTCCCTCCACCCTGTTACATTCGATTTTAAAACTGTGATCTTATCCCAACCTATTTTATGGTTGGTTGTGTGCAACTGCATGTAGTGCTATCATGGCTGAAATGTTCACCAGATTTCTTATCTTAGTGTCGGGTCAACTAATCTAGATTTTGTCAAGCTTTTATGCTGCTCCGCTAGTTTGAATGCACCTGTTCTACTACTCTGACCTATGTATTTGACCTGACAATCATTACAGCAGGGTATTAGACAAACTAAGTTGTTAGGTCTCATTGGCTCCACAGGATCCTTTAAGCGCCCAATTTTGTTTCTGATTGAGTTTGTGGGTGATTGAATACCACTTTTATTCCCTGCAATACTAAGAATTCTCCTTAAGGTTGTTTCCAAGGTTCCTTCTGTGTGTAGAAGTACTACTGATGACAGCTAAAATTCCTTACTGTTGGTGTTGCTATTATTGTGCGCATGTTTGTCATGCATATCGTTATTATCATCATTATTATTAGTATTAATTATTGATTTTATTTTTAGATTCCCGTACATACTTTCTGAATAATTTATCAAGCCAACTATTAAATTTCAAAGTTTCCCCTTCTAATATACCTGAACTTCTGTCTTAGATTTCCCTTGATTCTACTTAGTTATTCTTCCTACTGCTTGAACATTTCACTAACCCTAATATTTACTGGCGTGGGGTGAATTGAATTGAAATGTCAATATTGATTTGAATGTATGGGCTTCCTGTAAACAGTGTATTATTCCCTTTCTATGATACAATTCAACATTGAAAGCTTCTCTTCCTGACTATCTAATTCACAAATGAATTGAATTGAGTTGATGTGTTTTTTTTTACTTCGAATATGTGTTACTTTCATGCTTCTACTATACTTTGGAAATGGCTCAAGGTTGGCAGCCTGGTTCTATTTTGTTTTTTTAAGGAAGTCAATACAAGTTAGACAACTGTTTAGATTGAACTTCAACTTTATCTGCTGGAGAATATGCTCCCCGTTGAATGTTATATTCTGAAGCTTATTCCCACCTAAGGTCACGAATAAACATTGCTGAAAAGGTATTAACTTAGCGTATTTTCCAAGCATTCAGCGATTACTTAAATGGCATGACATGGAGGAGATCGTGTGAGGAAGAAATGAGAGAGAGAGGAAGAAAGACTACATTTGTAGTATAAAATGATATCACTCTATTTCACAGGTTCTCATCAGCTGCAAACCACCTAGTTAGTGAGTTGAGCCCACTAGTGTGTATGACTAATCAGTGTAATGAAAGTGATATGGTTACAAAGGGAGTGAGAGATTGACTACAGTCTCTTTCTGTATGCATGAGTTTGGTCTGTTTATTTATTTTCTATTTTTGATTACAGCTTTGATTTCACACTGCATTTTAACATAACATAACATAAGCTTTATTCCAAATCAGTACTTGTGATACAGAATGGAATTCTCAGCATTTTTACTAAAATATTACATCCAGTTTTTACATTAACAATAAATAAAGTTCTACATAGATTAAAGTTATCTCAACAACATATTAGTGTAAGTGTGCAATTTTCAGCATACTTTTACTTACTTTACTTCGGCTATCTTCTACGGGAGGATGAGCCGGCTTCATGAACATCTCGAATCATCGCTGCCCAAGCGCGGCGATCTGATGCAAGGTTTTGTGACAGGGTTATCCAATTCTTGTTCCACAGATGGAGTCCGTAGACGCTTTGTAGCCCCAGGCACTCCATATCAGCCTTGACTGTACCAAGCCATGTTTTCAGCTGTCCACCCCTGCGACATCGCCAAGTTACCGGGAACGCCGTAGCATGGTGAGAGTTGTTTGTAAGAGAGTTCATGAAGTTTCATGGGAATTAGGTACGAGTGATGTCCCCAGAATCGCTCAGCCTTTTGTTTGAGAGTGCAGCTCCAGTCTTTACACAACCAAGTGTGACCTACAAGGCAGTAGGAGTGGAGTAGGGAGTCCACTATCCATTGGCAGCCGTTGACCGGAGTCCGGTTCATATGCCTTTTTGAATGGGGCCAGACATCCAGGGCATCCAATAAGCCCTTTGTCCATACGTCTGCCGGTGAGCTTCATAAGCCAGTCGTTGGAGGTTTGGAATCAGGGTTTAGCCATCTCCCCTAGACTGTCATCCAATGGACAGTCAACCCGGTGAAGAGCGCCGGGCATCCGCTTTTGCCCTCTCACTTCGGTGAAAGAAAACACCTCCGCCACGTGAAGGCAGTGAGTAGGACTTCCTCAGGAGAGGCTATGTAAGACGCCCGGTCATATGGGGGCATTTCAGCATGGATATCGGTAGCCCAAATTTTGCAGGCCGACCATAGATATCAATTGTGCGTCGGGAGGGGATCGAACCTCGGACCATGTGGATCGTCGACGAGAGTCCTAGCCACTGTACCACCGACGCACATGTACTTGCTGCCGCAGGTACACGTAAATTTGTAAATGCAGTTGGAGGTAACATCAGCAGGGTAGTTATCCAGTTTCGATTGGTTTATAGAGCATATAGTACTGTATAGTGTCACCAGATTGGCTGCAGGGAAGCATTGGAAGGACAGAAAGAAGGGTTTCTATCCGGTTTTCAGAGCGTATTCCGAGAGACTTATTCTTAAAAGGAAACAGATATTTACAAAGTGCAATTACCAGACACCCACCATGTGGATACGAAGCATTTTGTCGAGATTTCCAAATTCTTTCCAAATTATATATATTTCATGTACATTATGATAGCTTATTCAAGTACACAAACGCAGTCTTCTGATTGGTTGTTTCGGATTTCCTCGAAAAGTGGAGCCATCTCTCTGCGAATCATATTTGCCCACGTTAAGTTTGCTGTGATTGGTTGTTGAATCAGCCTTGTTCATATTTTCTCACGGCCAATATTAGTGACCTAGACATTGACGTAGACTAATGTCTACCAGTTGGCTAGCATCCTGCTCTCACCACAAGTAAATAAAAGCATTAGAGGTCATATTTTATTAGATTTAAACAAACCGAATAGAAGAAATTATATGCAATATGTATTGATGGAGGTTTTCGATAGCCAAGGTTTTAAGCAGGCTGCCAGGGGACTTTCAAAGTTCAAAGCTTGAAGCCCCGACTTCTATTCGGCATGCGAGTAGGGAAAAATCATTTCTAGTGTAATACGAAATGCACATTTCTGTCCCGTTCAGGACTCATGATATATAACTTCATCTTTGGTGAGGTATAATTTCCAAGCGAAGGCTTCAACCACACATGCTTCGATAATGCTAGACATGCGTGTTGTCTGTCTGCTTAGAAAAGTCAACCCCTGCTGAGAAAAACGCATTTGTGAGTGCTTAATACTTTTTAGTTTCAGGATTTCACCATGAGCTGACGTCAGTGGTTAGAGAGCAATTGGAAAAACACCAGGAAGTGCTGAACAGATGTTTTGTCAGCCTACGTTTGGACTTTTAGTAGTACTTACCCACCGCTATGGTCCGAACACAGGACCTTCCAGTTGCAAGACGAGCTCGTAGACATTCCAGCCACTGGGATCCGTCGATCCAATGGTCGGTCAATGTATTCCAAATTCTGCTAATTTATGATATAGCGCAACTAGCACTAGCCAACGTCATCCACGGCGAGCATTTGTCCCCACACGTGACCTGCTGTACTGTACTGATAGAGCCCTATGGCTTAATTGTCTACGAGCTCACCTTGTAACTCGAAGGTCTTCGGTTCGAACCCTGGTGGTGAGCGTACTGATGGAAAGTCCCAAATTAGGAGGAAACAGCTGTCCAGTACTCCCTGGCTGTCTTTCAATGGTTCTGTTACAGATGTGAGTTCATGATAAAGTCCTGTACATAATCAAGTCCCCGACACTTGAACTTCTTAAATGATTGTTATTCTCTTCTTTGGAAGGGAATTTTCGCGACTCTTGTTGGGTATTTTTCTACGGTTACTTTTATAGTGCTGTGTGAAAGTTTTGAACTTACAGTATCGATTACTGCACACCACATAGCAGTGTGGTGTATTAAGTAAAACTGTCTACTAGAATTGTTGATTTCTATGAATTGCCTATTATTTCTCTTTCTTTTTTAAATATTTGTTTTACAGAAATCTAAACTTACTGAATTTGTAGTCTTATCAAATCCAGAATTTTTAGCTGAAGGTACAGCTGTCAATGATTTGTGTAATCCAGATCGTATTTTAATCGGTGGTGATTCACATTCACCATCGGGTAGATTAGCTATTGAAATGTTACGCTGGATTTATTTACACTGGGTACCACCGGAACGTATTCTTGTCACATCGACATGGTCATCTGAATTGTCGAAACTGGTAATTTATATCAATTTTTATTGATTATTATAATATTTGTACGTATATATATGTGTAGGGTGTTGATCGAGTGATCCATTAGTCAAAGCTCAATTTCTTTCTACTGGGAACTTTAACTTGAAACATGAGTGAAATTAGTTTCCAAACTAAGCTACTTGTCAGTAGCCAGTATTGATAAGTTTTCGTACGTAGCAATAAGAAGACGTAATTTGTGCTGAATTTGTTTACGCAACACATTTCGAACAATTCGATCTCACATTCACAGGCTTGTCCTAGGAGTATATATGAAATTAGTAAAGAGTTAAGAGGTGAGAAAATAAATTTAGGTCAAGTTAAAAGGATACATTGAAGGTCAAAATAACAATGAAGATCACTAAATCAAATAACAGTGGTAATAGTACATCTATCCGGATATGTATCCATACAAAGTTTACCACGGAAGGTGGTTCAGTGTGATGATGAATTGTTTTTGAACGCATAAAGATGGTTTAAACTTCCCAGTTGCTTCCACAAACTTTTAGGATGCGCCCAAAACACATTTTATAGACGTGCAAACACCATTTTTATGTCTTGTCTCTATAATTTGTTTCGCAATAGAGGAGCTGAGTTGCCTATTCTGACTAATAATGGGTTCTGAGAATTCTTTTTTCTTCTGAAGCCATTTAGAAATATGCTCTGGAGAGATCGATGAGTCTACCCGACGTATGTGTCGCATCTACCGCGACTGTTGTTTTCCCGCCAAATAGAGATCAGTTCAAATAAACAAACTGTGTGTGATGCTCATTCAATGTTCACCAACACTGACACATGGCATTTGGAATAAATGATAGGAAGCGACTTAAAGACTTTTAGTTCTCATCAATTAGGTCAGCGTTGGACAGCCAAGAAGACTATGCACTTTGAGGTTGCATAAACTCAAGGATCCACAGAGAAAACCAAAAAGTTGATAGAAGAAACAACGAAGATAGCACTTCACACGAGAAAAAAAGAAGATAGGTGTGATAAAGATATCCATTCATTAAGGTCAACACGCACCAATCATTATCAACGGAAGAAATTTGAGGGAAATCACTTATTTCACTTATCCAGGCAGAATCTTTTCATCCAAAGGCGGTACCGCTAAGGATATCAAGAGTAGCCAAAGAGTTGGAAAGGCAAGAAGACCTTCAATAAGCTCAAACCAGTCCACAAGTCTACTGCACTAAGCATACAAAAAAAAATCAGTCAGTACTTCTACGTGGTTTGAAAACATGGCGCTTAATGTGAAAAGCATTGCCAACAGACTACTTCATACTCTTATCAACCAACAGATCCCACCTTCGCTGGCTCTGTATTAAAATTCAGATGGTCAGTGGGAGAGAAATAGTAAGAACAAAACTCTGGGAACAAACCATCAAAAGAATCTGTTTGTTGCTCAACAAATATTCTTCAGAAGATGGAGATTGATCGCACACTAATGAAACCACTGGGTGAAATCACTAGTCTGTCTAGTGGAACTCGAATGTACAGAGTGACGAGATGATCTTGGGTCTGAGGGTGACAATGGAATGAAAGCTTATAAGAGATCGTGAAACCATCTACACTGGAGTACAGAGACTAGGATGAATGAGAGATGTGCTGATGAAGTCGTATGTTCTATTCCGAATCCAAGGGAATAAAAATAATAATGATAATGATTCCATTAGTAGGAGAGCTGATGTTCTCATATCGATTGACGTGAAAATATCATTTATAATGTTTCTTATCAGTATATTGCCACAGATATTAATGAGTAACATTGACGTTGCATACCTACAGCTGCACTAGGGAATGCTGGACAACTGTTTCTTCGTGGGACCCTAGGACTCTCCAGCAGTGTGCGCCCGTCTCTGGGGTTCGAAACCAGGACCTTTAATTTACAGGGTGAGAATCAGATCAATTTTCAAGTTTGTAGGCATTTGATTTGTTTCAGATTTGACCACGAATTGAAATTGATGCTCACTAGTATCTGACTATAGGACGCAGTTGCCTGAAGCACTTTCTAATGAGAACTTCTGATCAGTGCGTCCTACCAATAGGTCGGAAGTGAGGAGAATTACTCGCCGATAACACTGGTTCGTGGTCGCACTAAAATAAATCACGAATTGGTTGAAGTCAGACTTCATGGACTGACAATTGAGTTGGGTCCCAGTAGCTGAATGGTCTACGAGCTTGACTTATATTCGGAATTTCCTGGACTCGAACACAAGCGTTGAGTGCGTACTCTCAATGAGCCCCAAACTTTTTATTTTTTATTTATTTGTTTCCTTTAGTTCCTAGAGGAACATAGGGCTTCAGCCGAACGTCTCCATTACGTTCGGTTCTCTTCCAACGTTTTAACCTGGCTCCACTTCTGCCCACATGCTTTCATCTCCTCTTCACATGACCTCCTCCATGTCACCCTCGGATTGACGACCTACTCGCCGCTTCCCATTCGACTTCCATTCGAGCGATGGCCTGGCATGTGGTGTCACCTGATGACTTTCTCAGAGTTTGGTCAATCCAATGCACCTCCATTTCTTCCTGCGTATTTGTTGCACAATCGGTTCCTGATTGGTTCAATCCCAGAGATCCTTGTTGCTGATATTTTCTGGTCGGCCATCTGATCTTGAGTATTGAGCGAAGACAGCTGTTGATGAAGGCCTGTAGTTTGTTTGAGGTGCTCTTCATGACGCGCCAAGTATCTGATCCATAAAGTAGCATTGACTTCACATTGGATTTGAAAATCCGGACCTCATTTTTCATACTGAGTGCTGTTGACTTCCACACAGACTTGAGAGAAATGAAGGCTTGCCTTACTTTCCCTATCCTTGCTTTGATATCCTCGTCAGTTCCGCCTGTAGTTGAAACGATGCTTCCCAGGTAGGTCGGTAGGTAAAAGAGGTTTCTTCTTTCAGATTTCTCCCATTTACGCTGGCTGATTGCTGTCTGTTGTTGTTGCTGTTGCTGGTGGCCAGGAATCTTCATCACTTCTGTTTTCTCTTTGTTAACCTGAAGTCCTATCTTCCGTGAATGCTTCTTCTGCCAAACTGTGGCTTTTTACTTGCCAGTTTGTGTGAAATCAGACATATATCATCGGCGAAGTCCAGATCCTGTACGTCTTTTGTGTGGGTCCATTTTATGTCTGTTTCCTCGCTCCCCGCCGCTGTGTGTCTCATTATCCAGTGTACCTCAATCAGGAAATTAATCATTGGAGACAGTAGGCAGCCAGCTTGTCTTACTCCCATCTTCACTTCTTCGAAGGATTCCGTAAGTTTCCCGTCGTGGATTACTGGGCATGCGTCATTGTGGTACAACGGTTGGTAGATGAGATGTATAATTGTTGCTGGCATCCCTTGGTAGAAGCGAATTAGTTGCCAAATCACCTCTCGATCGACACTGTCTGCTGAAGGCCTTTTCAAAGTCAGCCTGAAACTAGGATGAAATATCTGTCCAGTATTCTCTAATGGTTTCCAATGGTGGTTTTCCAACTAATACCAATCCGTGATGAAACTTGAAAGAAATCAATCAAATCCCTACAGGTTAGCTCTTGAAAAATTGAAGTCCCATGTATCACAATTAAGCTCAATAGAAAAAAATTGTCTTTAACATAGACAGAATTCTTGAAGATCTTCTGCAATAGATATAGGTCAGTAAAAAAAGTAGACAGCTGATGACTTGTCTCCTATTTACTTCAATGCTAATTGAAAATATTCCTGGTTTGTTTTCGAATATGTTCGTACATATGTATGTCGCCCCCTACTCCCACACTCTTAAAATGTTCATCTACACCTGTTTTCTTGCATATATGTATATATATATGTGTTTATATATTTCTCTTTTAGGCAGCAAATGCTTTCCTTGCTCAACGTATTAGCAGTATTAATGCTATTTCTGCTATTTGTGAACAAACTAATGCTGATATTAAAGAAGTTTCCAAAGCTATTGGTACAGATCATCGAATTGGACCGTATTTCTTGAATGCCAGCCTTGGATTTGGTGGAAGCTGTTTTAGAAAGGATATATTAAGCTTGGTAATTATATTGTTCAGTTGTGTTGTTTAATTTCTGTGTATCTTTTTCTCTGATATGTAAAAGCATAGAATAGTAAAATAGTATGTAAAATTTGGTATTGATTCAAATTGAGACGCTGCACAAATTATTTCAAAAAGAAAATTTTATATTATTAATTCAGTGAGCCATTCTTTCTGACACTAAATAAGGGCGTCTTCGTCTGTATTCCTTTATATTCCGACTGGAATATAGGGCTTCAGGTTCTGAAGCTTTGAAGTACCGGTAGAAGTGTTTGTTAAAACTTTTTACGTGGTGTGATGGGTATCCTCACGCCCAACCTTCTCTGTCTACTGGCTTAGTGAGGTTTCGGAATGCGTCAGCTGGCGACCGAACTCCGGACCATGTGAGGCGTGGTTAGCGAGCGTCTTAGCACTGAACCAGTGACGTACGAAATCCCACGGTAATGATAGCGGGTATCTATTCTATTTCCGTATTCTGATAATAACGAAACAAATATTTGAAGTTCCATTCTACTGACAGACTGATTGATTTGACTTTGACATAGAATACTGCATAGAAGTGCAGCAGTTCAAGTTGCTGCGTCCCATGTAACACACAAAGTTAGAGAAAAGAGTGAATAAAGATATTCAAAAGAAAATTCGCCGAAGGAAGAACAAGTAACATAAAAGAATAGGACGGCTTTTTATGAGTATGGGAGGTCGCAAAGTGTCAATATATCCGTATCATTGAGGATGGTTTCGAGCCTATTGAGGACCCTGATAAGGTAGTTTACACCTCCTCCTACATAGCTGGCTCAAGTTAACTGTGATACTAGGTTTTCGTTGGACCAGTCCTATCTCTTTTCCAGCATAATTGTATACCTTTTAATATTGTTTGTCGAGGATCGTAGTGGCTTGGCATCTAAGTGAGATATACTTGGTGAACGCTAATTGACTCAACGAAACAGAGGTCCGTAATCGATGCTTGTCACATGCATTACACAGATTTTTTTTAACGATAGGCTGAATGACGTCTCATTCGACACTGATGGAGCAGTCACTTTGCCATATTTTCATAAAGAACACAATCAGTTCCGCCATTATAGTCTCATCACCATACGAAGAAGAGGCAAAGCACGCTGTCGGGGCCCAGTGCCCAATGACGCTTGAGTACTTTCAGTTGGACGTTGGCTTCATTACGTGGATCATCAGTAATCATCACGCTCTACATTTGTCACAGTTGAATACTGTCACTGTCGGCCTGCTAACCGTTTTTTCCAGAGTAATCTTTCTCGATTGTTAGTTGGCACATCATCTGTCTCATTGATACCATTTTTGTTGCTACTCGTTTCTCGGATGACCTGGAAGAACTTTCGACTACTGCCAAGTGTAACTGGTTAGTCTGCCTTACACTCACGTTCTGGCCACCAGGCTTCATGGTCCTTGCCTAAGTACTGTTTAATTCGACGCGTTCGAACCTAAGGCAGATTATTGTACTCAATCTTCGCTGAAATGGGTTACTGATCCTTATCTTCCTTTAGTTAGTCCTTAGTCATTAGAAAACAGTAATCTGTCACTCTTAACAGAAATTTTCAGGGGGTAGTATTGTTTCATAATAAATAGAACTATATACTACTGAATCACTGAAATGAGTAGTTGTATGCCATATCATATTAATGAGTAGCACTTGCCAGTCAGATCGAAGTGATCCAGACATTGCTCTTTCTTATTTCTCCATATCACCACATAATCACAGTCCAATAAGTGCCGTGTAATTGAGCTTACCTGAGATGCTATCATGAGTACTAGAAAGCTATTCATCACCCATAGATCGTATATTTATTCAAATGGATACTTATTTTAATGATGTCACAATGTTCATGTGTTTGTTTGTATGTATGTTCACATTAAGAAGGAAGAAGATTCCCACTACCCCCATCTCTATTCGGTTTCATCATAGACGTACTAATGAAATTAACCCTAACTCACCTCAACGACTCAGGGATTGAATTGTTACCACCAGGGAATAATGGTATCGTTGACTTAGAATACGCAGATGATATAGTCCTCCCTCTTAGGTGAAGACGCTTACAGAATAAATCAGTCTTCTGAACACCTTGACAGGAAGTAATCTTCGAATGTTTGGCATGCGATTCGCTACCATCAAATGTAAGATGATGTTGCAGGATTGGAATGCTTTGAATCCTAGCTTATAAATAGGGAGTGAAGTCGTGGGTGAGCGTGTTGACCACTTCACTTATTTGGGGGATTGCATCAGCCAGTGCCGACGGGTTGATCTCTGACGAAATCTCAGCACGGTTACAGAGGGCTAGTTTCGCATATTCCAGTTGACGCCGTCTCTGGCGTAGGTGTGATATCCGGCTATCGACCAAAGGGCAGTCCGCTTAGCCATCCTTTATGGCTGTGGGGCATGGACATTAAGAATGAAAGACATGAAAAGATTAGCTAGCTGTCTTTGATCATATGTGCCTGTGTTGTGTCTTCCGTGTGAAATAGTATAATAGGATGAACAATATCGAGGTTAGGCGTCGAGTGATAGGTGAAGAGGGAAAATCAATAGACGAGGCTGTGAAGTTACATCGATTGAGATGGTTGGGACTGTGTGTTACGCGTGCCTAGCCATCGACTTCCTGGACAACGGGCAATGTTAGCTGACATAGGATGGACTAGGTTAGAAAAGAGCCACTGATAGTCAAACCGAAACATGGCTTCATGAGTCAATGAAATCCACAACAGTCAGTTTAATCCAGCCAGGCACTTAGGAACGTGTAAACTCTCTGACTGGTTGAGATCCTTGGGACGGTAAACATCAATGACAGCTGGAAACAATTAGTGATATGGCTCAAAATCGTCGTTGTTAATGGCTGGTGCAGATGCATCCACTCCTTGTGACTTATCATATCCAATAAAACTATATTGTTCTTCGGTATTACTATTCTTTTTGCCTCATATCTCTGTTGACTGTCTCTATTTTGCATTTCTTTTTACTTTCTTCTCTTGCCTTTTGTGCTAAGCGGAGTGTGGTGACTCGAACTACTGCACATCTGTGCAAAGTTCTATGTTGAAACCAGTCAGTGGGTCAGTCAGTTTGTAGAGGAGGGTTCATTCAGATGATGAATCCTTCTAATGAAATTTATAAAATTCACTAAATACTTTTATTATTAGCATCATCGATCGACATTTAAAATAATGTTAGTCCGTAGACTTTTTGTTTTTGAGGGAACGGATAGAGTTCAGTCGAAAAAGTCACTAATGGGTAGATAGAACTCTCGAAATATGAAGTGACATTAAAAAAGGCGTTGCTTATGCCACATAATATGAATAATACCAGAAGGAATTAAGAATTTTGTTGTGTTTTTTTCGGCATTTAAGTAGTCAGACTGTATAGTAGTAATGATAATTTATTTGTCTGCTTACAATATATATTCTTCGTGTATTCTGTTAAATGTTACAATAATTGTAGACCAATGCATTATCTTTACATTCTAAAGGTCAAAAATGAGTGTTCCGTTGTACTTTATCCCTTTATATATTCGATTATTCGATTACATTAGATAAGATAGGCAGATAGGTAGATAGACAGAACAGAGTAGATTCTTTAGTTGTTATGGGTCGCGCGGGATATTAACTATGTACTTAGTCACCTTGGTTTGTAGGTGTATTGAGGCAAAAACAGCTTGATAAAATTGTGTGAAGACTAAATGGGTAGTAGACAGGATTTTGGATATATTCAGATGCATTTATAAGTAGTTTTAACCTTTTTAGATGATTGTAATGGGTATAATTTCCAAAAAATCTCCCTGACTACTTATTTCTTTGCCTAATAGTACTACGTACAGGTAAGGTAAGCATATGTAAGTAAGAAAGTAAGCTGTTTTAGTGGAGACAATTTGAATTCCCAGCCAGTGTATCTCGGGTTAGAATTCCTCCTCTATTATCTATTGTTAAAGCAAAATGACTTGACACATTATGGGCACCAAGAGATGCGCTATGCAAAATTTCCTAGTTTGTGAAATGTTTGGGATACTGGGATATCATCGGAGCAGATGGTTGTCTTAAGTGGCCGGCCCACAAGCGTTTTACCCGAAGTCTGATCCAAAAGAGAGTGTAGCTGAGTTCCCATAACTGCCGGTTACTGGAGAAGGTGTATTTGCCCTTCATACCCTTCGGAGTTCTGAAGCTCATAAACACCACAGGTTTGGAAGCAAGGTTTTCGGGCCCTTCCAGAGTGTAGGTCAGTATGTTAACCATTCAATCGAGTTTTAAGTGTTGGATTTTCGTATTCGCTCACTTCACTTTTTGGCGAAAAGGGACACTCCCACTTCGTGAATGGTACTTAGCCAGTGGAGGCTATGAATGCGTGCGTGGCCACATGAGAGTATTTTGAGAGGAAGGTCGAAGTCTATTCATCCTCGGTAGTACCGAGTCATTTATATGGGCTCTGTGAACTTCTCACTGAGCAACTAGGTATTATCATCAACCTTCACACGATAAATGCAGCTTGGCTTGCGGAAAAAACTGTTCCAGATGACTAAGTCGAACCATAAGAAGTAACTAGTTTTCAAACAGTAATAACTGTCATCTTCAGAAGATGTATATATATATATGCGCGATTGTATAGGTGGAGAATGATATCGCTGAAAAGAGTAGCTCTTCGCTGAACGCCTTTCTTTTATGCAACTTCAGTATCCTGAATACGTTAGCAGGAAGCGTGTGTATCCTCGTTTTCTGCCTATTGTCATCCGTTTCTCTGATAATTACAATAAGTGTGAGAATCCATTATGTTGGAAACTCCACTACAAAGTTATTCAGTGTACGACTAATCTTCTGTGCTCGACTGACCGACCGAGTTTAAACACAGAACTTTCCACAGAAGTGTACCATTTTACGTTACCGAACTCCACGAAACTCTCAAAGAAAGACTAAAGAGAAGAAAAGAGATTTGAAAGGAGGGTAATAGGCAAAAATGTGTTGGAGAAAAAACAGTGACATGGAGAAACATGGGGATTTAACGGATGTGGGCGGTCACAAAGACTGAATGGATTGTCTGCTCTACTGAGAACGATTTTGAACCGTACTACCAACAGTCTCCAGTTATTGGTTCTTAACATCTTGAGGATCCCAGATAGTCAGGTAGTGTGCACCTCCTCCCTACATGGCTGGCTCAAATCAATAGTCAAAAACTTCATGGGTTGATTCCTTGTTTTGGTCCGATCAACTAATACTTTTTTTCTAACCTGATCCCTTATGTCAGCTAATATTGCTCGTTGAGAAGGGGGATGGCTCGAGATGCCGAGGATATGTTTCTAGCCATCTGAATTGACTCATCTTCTTAGCCTTATCAAATGACTTACCCTGGCTGCATAACACCCGACAATGAAGCTGAATATCACTCATCTTATTATACCACTTAATAGGGGAAGTATAATGTAAACTTCTAGGGTTAAAGACAACTTAACTTTTCATATCTTCTACTTTCAATGACCATGTCTTAGAGCCATAAAGTAGGACAGTGTGAACTGCTAAGCGGTTCGATAGCTAGACATCACGCGCTCGCTAGAAATGTTGTGAGTTGACGAATGCTAACATGGGCCTTCCCTATCCATGGTGAGATTTCATCATCAATTAGTCCATCTTCTGTAGGATTGAATTGTGCAGTTAACAAAGTGATTATTGAAAGTGATGTGTAAACCCAGGTGATGAAAGGATTAAAAGGAGTCATCTCTAGATTGCTTATCCAGTGCTGTAATAACCGACCTGCAAGATCCAGCTTCTGGTTCGAATCTTGAGGCGAAGCAGATTTCTAATTAATCTTTATTCATCATGCATTTTACCAATTAAAATGTGCCAACCGAATGGCTACCTGGTACAGGCTTCACTATCCAAACAACAGATATTCAGTATTTGAATTGGTCAGCTAATTATTGGTGCCTAGTATAGTAACCTCAATGTTGTGCATCGGAATGATTGACTTAGGTGAATACTTCTATATAGAAAGATGCATTTAGCTTTGTTCTCTGATAAATCCCCATAAGTGTAACTTCTTCAAGTCTGTATTTTTTCCACAGAAACATATATAGATCACCACCACTTTAATGTCTTCAGTTAGAGTACCGTTAAGAACCGGCCGGGAATATTGGACAACTGTTCTGTCCTATTTTGCAACTCTTCATCAGCACCTAATCACGACCTTGTTGACCATTCAACCACTGAGACGGAATCTAACGGCCAGTCCAAAATGTCTAATGTCTGTTAATTTGCGATTTCTAGCGCAACTGTCAGGTAGTATCACATTGATGAGTATTTATATTCACGCCAGATCTTATGGACCTCACTGGCGGTTACAGCTTCCCACTAGAGCTCCAGGTCAGCTGTAAGGACAAATACTTAACGGTGAAATTGATTGACATTGGCTCTAAAAGTCGCATCGATTGGGTGAATGTATAATGAGATCGCCTTGCGAGCTGGAGGTACTGGGTTCACTCCTCATTTGGATGAGAGTTGTGTGCCGATAAAGAGTCACAAACTGGGGCGAAACATCCCTCGAACACTCCTTCGTTTTTTTTTTGTATTTCCCTAATAGAAGTCAGTTTTTTTTTATTGAACCCACTCAACATATTTCCTCTTTTGTGTGTGTGTGTGTGTGTGTTTGAATGCATAAATATATTTTTCCCTTTTTTACAGGTGTACATATCAGAGACATTAAATTTACCAGAGATTGCATCATATTGGTATTCTGTACTACAAATGAATGATTATCAAATTCAAAGATTTACTCGTAATGTTATTGAAAAACTACATAACACATTGAAAGGCAAAAGAATTGCAATATTTGGCTTTACATTTAAAGCGGATACACACGATACAAGGTAGAAAAGTAATAATAATAATTATTATTATAACTTACAATAAATAATAACTCAACTTATTTATAGCTCCTGTTTTTATGCAAAAATATGAAGTTGGAATTCATAGGCGATTGAAATGGTTCCCAGTGGCCTTGTAACGTTAAGATCCTGAGTTCGAACCCTGGCGGTGGATGCATAAAGAGTTCCAAACTAGGACACAATACAGTACAGTAGTGTATAGTACTCTCTGTTAGTCTTCAGTGGCTCTCTAACTGATGTCGACCCGTGGTCAGACCCAAAATAAAATGCATACCCTTACAATTCGACCAAAAAGATGTCTAAACTCAAATTAAAATACCATCGAGAAACTATCCTAGGAAGTTACAACATTGTCTATGAAATAAAAGCTAAAATACTTAAACCATTGGGAACACATATCTCATACAAACCAGTACAGTCATTTTGTTCACTACTATGGGGACCAAAAGAACCAACTGCTGAAGAAGATAAGATCCACACCATCTACAAAATAAAGTGCTTAATATTGATCAAAGAAGGTGATCCCTTCAAATAAAAGATCTAAGAATATAAACTAGACACCAAAAGGCATTATATGTGTATTCTTTCATGTCGGTGTATGTAGACACCTGTGAACATAAGATTGACTTGGAAAATGTAGAAGTACCAGAATTTCTAGAGAATTCTTAGAAGCCTGTTACTCAGACGAATATCAGTGATTAATGGATATATCATTACACATCCAATTTACCAACTGATAAAGGATAAACCACATGACAGAAAAGTCATATTCCCAAATAAACCAAAAGTTGACGATTTTTAACATTTTTCTTGTTTGTCAAAATGTCTGTAGCAGTTTGATTGGTTTACCGGATCAGAGACGCTAATCCTATGCCTGACCCACCCTCTTTTCTCAGACTTGGGACTGACTAGTAAACTAGGCAAGGTTTGTAAACGCCTTCGACAACGTTGACTTCGAAGTAATACTCCAATACTATGGAGTATCCGGAATTTTTATCAACCTCGTCCAAAAGCTATATGACAGTGGCACATGTCAGGTGACACCCACAACAGAGAACTCGGAGAAATTTTGAACTGACGACAGTGATAAGTCAAGGCCGCCTATTTATCGCTGATGATATTCTTAATTCTGGTGGACTGCACCATGCGTCAGAATGCGGGGAGTGGAAGACTCTGGAACGATAAGAAAATTCTAGAAGATCTGGGTTTTGCGTGTGGGGATGATTTATATTTAATGTCACACAAACTCGAAGAATTGCAGACGAAAATCAGCAAACTGGCAGCCGGCGAAGACATGACTCCAGATGAACATAGTGAAGACGGAGGTGGTGAAGATAACTATAAAGAACAATGACAACAAAAGCAACCAGCAGCAGTCACCGTCAACGACAGAGAGATTTGGCAGAGGCTACTCCCTTCACTTATTTATGCATTAAGCACTGTTTTAACCACAGGAGGAACGGATGAAGATGTCGAAGCCATCCAGCTAGCCAGAATCGAAGAGGCAAGATATAACTTCATCAACCTGAAACCAGTTTGGAAATCTGAGCTGCAATCCGTCTCAGCCAGCATAGAGAACAAGATCCGGATTTTCAACACAAACTTGAAGTTAGTCAGTCAGTCAATTCCTTTATATGGATCAGAAAGTTGCACTGCATATGTGTCACGGAAAGGATTTCCAACAGGTAACTGCAGACTTTTATCAACCGCCACCTTTGCTAGCAGGATACTGGAAATCAAGTTGCCAGCCAGAATGAATTAGCAGCAAAAAACTCTACAAATAAAATAACCAATAACCTATAACAGATATGTAGGGAAAATCAAGATGAATCGGTTACACGCTGAAAAGACTGTCGATTGACATTGCACTCAATGGGGGCTATTGCTTGAATGGAACCCGTATGGGAAACGACGAGTGTGTGTCCTCGGTGCGAGAGTGATATAGAGTAGTTCGTGCGAGGAGGAGATGTGAGACTGTGATCAACCGGGTGCTCAGCAATAGATTTTAGCAAAAAAAAAAGAACAAAGTTGATACGTGCTTTTGAAGCAGTATGTTCCACTAGGAACCCAAAGAGACAGTAATAATGGTGTTTGCCATTCCTTCGGTATCGGCGTTGTGTCATTTCTGTTTCAGCTGTTATGTATGATATTCTGGGAAAAAATTCAGCGATGAGTCTCTCCTTCTACCTGATTATTTTGTTCTTTAGAACTTTACCTCTGTCCCCCCTTCAATTGCAATCGCTGAGTTTTTCCACAAACTATTCATCTTCCTACTGTCAATCATTCTAAGCTTAGATGAATCGCTGTTTTCGGTGACCTGACAGACCCCATTTCAATGGTCTAATATGTTTAGTTAATCCTACAATCATTGTAAGGTATTTTGGGTCATTAGAGTCCCTTATCACAATTAGACAGTAGTGAACTGTTATTAACATGTGCGCTGACGGACATATGAGTAGTATTAAAACTTCCAAACTAGTTCTTTCTGCTGATTGCTGTAGATTTCCACATCTATTTAAAGGCAACGAATGCTTGTTTAAGCTTGTTGATACTAGCCGGCTTTGAGATCCTCTTCTGTAGCGTTAATAACACGATAGGTATCTTCAAAAATGCTTACTTCTGTTACATTGCATAAAATCGTTAAAATCTGATCGATAAATTCTTCTTGCTTTTTTGTTTTTACAATTTTGTATCAATCTAGAGACAGTCCTGTAATACCAGTTTGTAATCAGCTATTACAAGAACAAGCAGAACTTGCTATTTATGATCCTAAAGCTTTTTCCAAACAAATTCAATCAGATTTACTGGTCAATAATAGTAAAGATGCATGTAAGTAATGATTGTCTACATCATCTATTTATCTATTTTTATATATCTTTCCGTTCCGAGTTAAACATAGGACTCCAAGCTGTAGAGCTAATTTCATGCCCAACCCACCCTCTTTATCAGCCACGGATCGAACCCTGGACTGTTGGGTGGGGGGGGGGGCGTGATTGCCAAGCGTTCTACCTAAGAACCACCGACACACAAAGACATTATCAGGACGAGGCGTATACATATAGCATGCAGCTATCTTTAAACCTTGCATACAACTATGAGGCAGTGCACCGTCCTATCACTTAGAACACCATCAGAGCATGTGAGGGTGGTTAGGTAGCTGAATGTTTGTCAACACTGAATGTATATTAATCACCTTCATCTCTGATATTTTCATTATTTCCTTTCATATTCATGTATCCTTTGCCTTACAGAAGTCATTGTTGCATTTATTAGCTGTTTTCATTGTGATGATAGGTACGTTGGTGGCACAGTGGTAGAATGCTTGCCAACCACGTGTGTGGGTTTTGGGTTTGATCCCCGGCTACTGACGCACTTCCTTACCTCGCTAAGCCAGTAGTTAGACTGGTAAAGAGGAAAGGTTGAGTATGGGGCCGATAAACCCACTGCTACTGAAACTTCAAGCCTCTAGCTTGAAGGAGCCTTATGTCCCACTGGGAACGTAAAGTAATAAAACAAAAATAAAGTAGTGTCATTGTAATACTTGGGATGAGAATTTTATATTTTTCGAATCTTCGTATTATTAAGAACAACACATTTAAGCGAACAATATTGTGGTGTCAATTAGATCTCATCAGGCTGAACTCTAATTTACATAACTTTACAATTTGCTAGAAGGTGTGAAAACACACAAAAACAACCAATCACGTCCAAGGTCACCAGGAGAGATGATTAATAAACTCGTGGTGAAATCTAAAAGCTCACTTCAAATTGAAGTATGCGCTGAAGATGTCACCTAGTAGGGTGATGAAAGCTTCGCAAATCAACCATCCAGCTCAGAGAACACAACTAAATCAAAAAATTTACAAATAAAAATTCAGATATAAACCAATCACGGTGTTTTGTCTATAGGATAATAGGATGGTGAATATAAATTGTGCAATTAGTCATAATAGTAGTAATGATAATACTAATAATAATAGTAATGGTCTTATCAATAATAAGAATGAAAAAGTGAGGCAATCTGTGATAACACGAATAATGCAAAACAGCATGATTAAACAAGCAAATATTCAGGTGGAAGTAGTCGATAAAGGCTAGTAAAAACAAATGAACCGATTAAGTAATGTTAGGTTGTAAGGGAAGGAAATGAAACACGTTTTTAATGGAGATGTGTTAAGATCAAGGGATGATAAGAAAGGGATTGAACATATAAATAGGGTTGGTGGTGAAGAAGTCATTAGTTGGTTATGTCTTAATTGGCCAACAAGGGAGGGATAATGGCTGTACGAACGTCTTTTGAATGCATAGTTTAGTTTCAATTGTTCAAATGACTACCGCCTGCCTCAACTGTGTGCAGTAGACGGATACGAAGTCTACTGGAAAGATTTGGTGGGATACAACGAATTACTTTGAAGCCTCTCGTTTTCTCCACTACATGACCACTATCAATTAAATGTGACAAAATTAAGCTACGGATTGTTTTTCTCTGTCCTTTGACAAACCACGATGGGAGATGTTCACTAACACGTTGCCTATCTGTCTAGTAGCACGCCTAAGATAACTGTAGCCGCAGGTGCAGTTGAATTGATAAATGCACATAGATGTGGCAAAACTATCTAGCTTATCCTTCATTTGCGTCCCAATAATTCGTCGGCTAGGGAATGATAAACATAAGTGTGCTGTGTGAAACGTTCCTCGTATACTCCTTGGAAGTCTTTGGAATAAAATCTCACTTGATAAGTCACCATTAAGTTGTAACTTAATAAAGAGAGGTTTTTTACGTGCAGTCATAGTCTCAGGTTTTTTCTCTGATGTTTTCATATGGTTCTTTATGGAACTTCTCGGATAGCCCATCTACGTCAAGGAATCGTGAATATGCATTCAAATTCCTTTTGTAAGATGTCATCCGTACATATCTTTCATTCTCTGCTCACAAAACATTTAACAACATTTCTTTTATATTTAATGGGCATCTTCTCATTATGACTATTATAGAACACGATTTGAACAAGCAAATAGTTATTTTCGGTAAATTCTTATCAGGCTTTACATTTTTACATAATGAAATATTAGCCAGAGGCATTTGAATCAAATGTGGTTAATAAAATATGGGATCACAGTTCAGGGATGTAAATCAATGGATAATAACTGAGAGGTGGTCATGATCATAATAATAACAAGGATATATTCATTCAAGTGTTTATATAATCTAGGCAACGGTGAGTGTGTAGGTGGAATATACATTCTAGTAGGGGAAGGGAGGAAAATAACTATAACTGTCGTGAATTGCAGAAGTTAGAATTCGTGGGGTGACTATTGATTGGATCAGGTCTCAGTGGCTTAATGGTCTACGAGCTCGCCCTGTAACTAAAAAGTCCTGGGTTTGAACCCTGGCGGTGGGTGATTACTGATGAAGATTCCCAAACCAGGCTGACGAAACAGCTGTCCAGTACTCGCGGCTGATTTTCCAATGGTTCCCTAATCAATGTCAGCTCATGATGAAATCCTGTAACGAAAATAACTATTGTCACTTAGTGATTAGATAATATAGTGATGATAATAATAGATTGGAAAGTCAAGAATAAAATGTACAACTGCAGTATGGTATGATATTCATAATATGGCTAGCAGGACAAATAAAAATAAAACATATAAGATAATATTTACAGGTGCCCGGTGTCAATGGGAAAGATAATTATTCTAGGTTGGGTGGGTGAATTTCAAGGGAAAGACAGAGACTGGACAAACTGTGGTGGCGCGATACCCACAATGTATTCCAACGCAATATTATTCTCACATACCTCCACAGTTGAATACTGCGTTAGCAACAGAGTACTATGTTTGAAGGGTTTCATCATGGGCTGACAACAGTTAGTAAACCATTGGAAAACCCGCTGGGAGTAGTGGACAGCTGTTTCGTCCTAGTCTGGGACTCTTCATTAGTACGCACCCAAATTAAGACGAAGCAGTTGTCGAGTAGTCCCAGATGGTTTTCTAATGTTTCTCTAACTGATGTCATCTCATGATGAAATCCTTAAACCAATCAAACAAAATCCCTATAAAACCAATACTTGAGAAAACTTTGTATTTGAACATCGTATTTCATGTCGTTTAATGTAAGCCAAAATCACATGCTCAATGACTGGTTAGAGAATATAAAACTGTTTAAGTATAAATAGCGGTTTGATCACTTCCGTGTTTCGCCTTCTTCTGTTACAAAACGTTTTCTGAACACATAGATTGCGTTGAAAAATCATTATGACAACTGCCTCAGCTATGATGAACAACCGAAGACGTACCGAAGACTTAGGAAGTTGGGGTGGCACCTTGCATAGAATTGTAAAAGCTGGGATTTTATCAGTCTTGTGCTTCGAATCCACTAGGTGTACCAGTATGGAACTTCTGATTGACTTTACGACACCTTTACCAAACCACGTTGGACAATACTCCAGAAGGCAACAGTGGGCTTTCCGAGTCATTCAACCTATGTAAGTGTCTCCACATGAGCAGTTTAAATTTATAAACGCAAACTGAAGTGGCCAGACTCGGTAGCTTATCGTTCACCTGCGTATTGGAATTTTACAACGAGTGGTGAATTTTAAGAACAATCTTGCTGTAAAGAGTGTTCCCGCTTTAATTTTTTGAAATTTTGATGCCAGTAATTAAACCGGCTGAGTCTCCTTCGAATAGCAAAGTCATATGTATATATATACGTCTCTTCTTCACCGTGTTCTGCTCATGGAGACTTTAACAAAGTTTCCTGGCTATCTGTTCTCATAAAATAAGTTTTCTAATTTCCTTATTTCATCTACAAGAGTGTCGGTTGTACACATACTTTGTAGCACTAAATATCACTGTACTGGTAAGATTCCGTTTGTATGCGTCGGTGGCACAGTGGTTAGGATTCTCGCCTACCATGCACATGGTCCGGGGTTCGGGCCCATGCCGACGCACACCTGATATCTATGGTCGGCCTGCGAATTTCGGGCTACCAATATCCACGCTGAAAATTGCACACATGTACCAAAAATACAGTGTAGAATCAAGCTGTAATCAAAATTAATAAAAATAAATAAAAGAAACGACTGTAAGTAGGTGTATTAGTCAACTCATGACTTCTTACAGAAAATACCTACATTAATATTGCCATCTTGCCTTCTATATATGATGGGGAAGATTTGTCACTCAGGTAGATGATTTCGATGTAGTTGTGTTCTTTGAACTAGATGAATGGCTTATTTGCGAAGCTTTCATTGCCCCACTACTAGGCAACATCTTCAGCGCATACTTCAATTTGAAGTGAGCTTTTAGACTTCTCCACAAGTTTATTAATCATCTCTCCTGTTGACTCATGACTTCTTACAGAAAATACCTACATTAATATTGCCATCTTGCCTTCTAGATATATTGGAGAAGATTTGTCACTCATGTGGATGATTTTGATGTAGTTGTTTTCTCTGAGCTAGCTGAATGGCTTATTTGCGAAGCTTTCATTGCCCCACTACTAGGCAACATCTTCAGCGCATTATTCACTTTGAAGTCAAGGTGTTGTTATCATTCTCTGTTTCACATGTAAACTCAATTTGTGGGTTTTTCATATTTTGAACGTTTTGAAAAGTACCTACCTACCTACCTACCTACCTACCTTGGCATCGATTTTGTTATTATTATTATTATGCGAGATGAAGTATCGTTTTGATATTGTTCGATTAATTTACGAGTGTTATACTTTTGAAGTCAGTTAGGATTCAAAGTTTATTGAAAGAGTTTTTGTGATTTAACAAAACAAAACACAACAATATACTTCTCAACTTGTTTTTTATTTTTGAGTATTGTTCAAATGAAGCTTTGATCATAGTTCATAGTTTAGGCGTTATCGTATTATTACAACAACACAACAACAGAAAAGCCGAAATAATTAGTCTTCAATCATGGTGGCTGAAAGGTTGCTGAGAATGGTGTTCTCAGTGTCACCGATTAGTTAGTCTACAGTAGCCTCAAAAAACAAAATGCCACCTCTAATCATTTCTGTGAATGTGAACATCAGTTTATGCTATAGTTGTTGAACGTGTATCCTGTTTAAAAGGATTGAAAAACATCCTAAGGAGTACAGTAATTGAACACTTTGGATGCGGTTGTAATTAAAGTATCGGTATTTTATTGGTTTGGATGATTTCATCATGAGGTGATATCAGTTAAAGAACGATTGGAAAACCAGTTGGTATAACTGGACAGCTGTGTCATCCTAGTTTGAGACTGTGCAGTATTCCCAGCTGGTTTGCCAATGGTTCTCTAATTGATATTGTAATGACAGAAGGCAAGAGTCAGGCAACAGATCGTTTATTAAGGAAATCGACACTTATCTATATATATTTTCATGTACATTATTGTAGCTTATTCAAGCAAGCAAACAAACACAGTCTTCTGATTGATTGTTTCTCACAGAAAGTTGACCTTGCATCTCTTTGTGACTGTTTCTTGACTGTCAGATTATCTATCCGCCAAGTGTTTTGATTTGACACTAGTAACTAGTGTGATGCGTCTAGTCCTCTGATTAGTGTAGACTGAATTCTATCAGTCAAGTTGTAATGTGACCACCATTCTAGCTAGCTCGCCATCACGGTGCACATTGATTTGATGGTATTAGATGGTTGGAGGCAATCTGCCAAGTGTATCCGCCTACGCAAAGTCTTCTGTTATTGGTTGTTGAATCAGTCTTGTTCATATTTTCTCACGACCAATATTTGCGACGTAAACATTGACGTAAATTAATGTCTACCAATTTGGCTAGCAGCCTGCTTTCACCACAATATCAGCTCATAATGAAATCCTCTAAGCAATCAAACAAATATCCCTACAAAAACGAATACTTAAAAATTAATCTGATGTTCCCTAGCGACTGGCCCTATGCAGGCAGTTAATCTGGGGTTCTAATGGGAAGCCGTGACCAGTAGAGTACAGCAGGTTGAAGATGAGGCAGTAAATCATCGAAGAAGACATTGTAAAATGGTTGCACTACATCATGAATTGGCAGAAGTTAGAATTCTTGCACTGGCTGGCCATTGGATCGGATCCCAGTGGCTTAATGTTCTACGACCTCTCCAGCCTTGTAACCAGAAGGTCCTCGGTTGGAACCCCTGGCGGTGGGTGCGTACTGATGAAGAATTCCAAATCAGGCTGAAGAAACAGCTGTCCAGTACTCGCGGCTGGTTTTCCAATGGTTCTCTAACTGATGTCAGCTCTTAATGAAATCCTGCAAGCGATCAAACAAAAATCCCTACAAAACCAATATATCTGTTAGTCAACGTCAGTAAGATAAAAGTGGAGAAGGATTGTTTAATCATACTGGAATGGATCGACTTCTATGTTTTGTCATAATGCCTACTTCAATTGTAGGCAGTTGCCACGGATGAGGATGTCAAAATCAGCCAGAATCGGAAAGACAAGACAGAATTTTACCACCCGAAAATCAATTCGTAAATATTCTGCTGTCACTCAGCATAAAGAACAAGATTCAGATTTTCAACATTAATGTTAAGTCCGTCCGTCAGTTAGTCAGTCAGTTCTTGGTTTATACAGTTCAAAGATGAAAAGCATTTCCGACAGGCTATTTCATCACTACTTTTATCAACAATCGCCTTCACTGGCTTCATGCTGAAGACCAGATGACCAGCCAGAAAGAGTTAGCAATAATAAACTCTGGGAACGAACCAACCAAGAGTCGACTGCTTAAGAAATATTCTGAAAAAAAGTGGAGATGGATTGGAGACACTCCGAGGAAATCGTTGAGTAACATCAAGCTTCAGGTATAACCTCAAGTGGAAGTCGAATGAAAAACGACGACTTGGGTTTCGGTGCAAACGTGGGTGATATGGATGGAGAACATTGTTTAAGCAGAAGATGAGAAGCTATGATCAATCATGGGGATAACTAAAGAGGATTGCAGAGGATGTAACACAATGGAGACCTGTTGTTGATACCATATGTGCCAATCGGAACCCAGGGGAATAATAATAATAATAATAACAGAGACAATTATATTGTATTGGCTTTTATATTGATGCCAGTTAACCTATGGGGAAGTGTTTTATCCCACACAAGAGTTACCAGACTTGTATACACATGCATCTCAGTGGGTTGTCGTATTTCCACTGAGAATCAAATCCACTAATCATCGTCGTTAGTGACAGATGAGATGGCCTATTTCACTGCAATAGAATCAGCAAGTTTTGTAGTATTAAAATAATAAAAGATGAGGTGTTCCACACATAAGGTATCACTACCTGTTCACAAGCTTTCTTGATACCAATACCCAGTTGAAATGATTCTTGAAAAGTTCAAGTCTGACTTTCAGATAGTTGTATCCGAAACAGGTATCCCTATGTCAAACAAAACACGTATCAACAGCCAAGCAAATATCATCATTAGAACGGAATTGAAATCTGTCCTGTACACAATAACATACACGCTAAACTCAACTGTGTTTACATAAGTTAGCAATATCTGAATTCATGTTGATTATTCCTAGACGAAGAAACATACTTGACATTTAAATTTACTGTTATTGTTGTTCTCTTTAGTTCCTAGTGGAACACTGGGATTCAACAGTACTTCTGCATTTCATATTGGTCTCTGAGGTCCTTTTTAGCCTGTCCCCTAATTACCCATAGTCTCTCATATTTTCCTCTATGTTACCCTCGAGCCATTGCCTAACTCGTCGCTTCCTATGGTAGTTCTGCTCAAGCTATGGTCTCACGCGCCTTATGTTACCCAACAGTCCCCTCAGCATGTGTCCAATCCTTCTCCATATCCTTTTTAGTATATACTTGTTTTTTTTATTGCTTCACATTCCCAGTGGAACATAGAGCTTCAAGCTAGAGGCTTGAAGTTTCTGTAGCAGTGTTTATCTTTACAGGATGGGGTTGCTAGCCTCATGCCAAACCTTCCCTCTTCACCAGCATTATTTCTGGCTTAGTGAGATAAAGGAGTACGCTGGCCGGGGATCGAACCCCGGTTCATTGCTTTTTGTTAATCCTTTCTAGCCCTGCAATCTTCAGTATCATGCTTGAAAAGTTAATTGTTGATAAAAGCCTTCAGTGGCATGTTGGAAATAAACTTCGTGACATATACTACATGTCTTTGAACCATATTAATATTGATGATCCGCATATAAGTCTTCTTACTGAGTACAACAGATTTCTGCATTGACTCCTAAGTAATGAAGGTTTGTAAGTCTTGCTTTTCTAAGCTTGATTTCGACAAAAAAATATTTTTCCATGTTGATTAAAGACTACCTTCATTATTGTCATTATTATTCCCTTGGGTTCCGAGTGGAGCATGGGGCTTCAACAACACATCTCCACTTTCTTCTACTCTTTGCCATCCTCTTCAGCTGGGTTCATGGTTGACCACAATCTCTCTCCTTCTCCTCCTCCTCCTCCTCCTTCTCCAACTCACATGATCTCCTCCATGTCACCCTCTCACTGACGATCCACTTTTCACTGACCATTGGGATTTTACTCGAGAAATGGCCTGCATTGGGCGCGATGTCATTTGACGGTCTCCGTTTTTTTCCACATATTTGTTGAGCGATCGGCTCTCGCCTGTTGCTTTGTTCCTAGTCACAGTTTTCTGCTGCTAATTCTTTCTGGTCATCCGTCCATTTGATCTTCAGTATGGAGCCAGAGAAGGGGGAAGCTGTTGATGAAGTCTGCGGAAGTCTGGAGTGGCCTGTTGGAAATCCTTTTCGTAAGTCACACGCAGTGCAGGTTTTTGACCCGTATAGAAAAAGTGACTGATTGACTTCACATTTGTGTTGAAAATCCAACTACTTTCATTACTTCTGATATATATGTTTTTATGAGTTGATCACGGATTGAAATCAATTAGAGAACCATTGAAAACCAAGCAGTACTGGACAGCTGTTTCAACCTAGTGTGGGAATCATTGGCAAGTCGCATCCACTGCTAGGGTTCGAACCTAGGACCTCCCGGTTACAAGGCAATCTCATATACCATTCAGCCTCTGGGACTCGATTCAGTGACCAACGCATGAATTCTAACTACGACCAATTCGTGATTAAGCGCAACCCCAACCATTGTCGTTGGTGGGACATCCATCCACACACGTGATATCTGGATGAACCTCACTGGTCACGACTTCTCACTAGAACTCCAGGAAACTCCATCCTGTAGCAAGTCACTAGCGAGCATCAGATTATATATATGTAGTTGAATTCAGAGATCCAGATTGGCTTCTCCTGGAACTTGTTACTTTTCTACCGTTATGAATATGATGATTATCATCCCTATTTCAATGCTTAATATGTGTTCATTTAAATGTGAATTTTTTTCAGTTAACAAATTAGTCCATATATGTTCTACTCCCGAAGAAGCCGTAACTAATGCATACGCTATTCTGATATGTACAGATTGGAAGTGCTTTCAGGTAAGTTTATTGTCCTGTACATAAAATTGTGTTAGTGTGTGCCATTTGAGTGCATAGTTATGTTCTCTGAGCGCTGAATGGTTTGTTTACTTGTAAAGCTTCCTTTGTCTTTCCAGGTTACACCTTCTGTGTGAATTTCGATTTGAAGTGAGCTTTTGGAATTCTCCATGAGCCGTCTATCAGTCGTTTCGCCCTCTAGCTCGGAAAGTAATTGATTGTTTCTGGATGTGTTTTTTTTCAATCTCTAGTTCACCTGTATCAGTGTTGATTTTTTAATTTACCTGAAAGTTGACCTTTTGTTTATGGGATTCTGTTTGTATTCACCGATAAATTTTGTCGATGTCAATGATTGGCGGATCCCTCTGAATATCAGGATTCTAGTCATTGACCATTTTTATGTGTGGTTGGGAGAAATTTACATCGAGTCCCTTAACTTAAATTCCTCATTTCGCTTTTGTTGCCTTTAAGCGAAATAGTCTCCGGTTTGAATCCAACCGCTCATACTTTAGCCTAGGCAGTTGGGTATTACTACCAACCCTCATAGAATAATTTCGACTCATAGCCTCGTTAATCTTCGTTCTGTATATCTGAGATTCTCCACTCACTGTTTCAACTAATTTGTTTTACAAATATATCCGTCGGATGTATGACAATGTTTGTCCGTGTGCACTAAAATGTATCCTGCTATATTGTTCTGTTTAATTTCTGTCTAGCATTTGTTAATTTATGGTAGGTATTTGGAGAAAAACACCTTCATCTGGGTTTCACAATTGTGGATACTTCTCAGAAAGATGTATCTTCAGCCTAGCAGGAACTGATTTCCCCTGAAAGGTTGAAACCAACTTTACACACACACATACACACACTGCCGTAGTCAGAAAAGTTAGCACTGATCTCTTCGGGCTGCTGTTGATCACTTGTAATCCTGTGGTGGATGCATCAATTGGAAGTAATCAATGTCATGTGTCTTGTCGCTGACGTTGACGTAGACTGAATTCCCTCACAAAAGATGATAATGACAAAAGCGATGAACTGTCATAATAAAATAAATAATAATAATAATTTTTCCTTCACGTTCCCAGTGGAACATAAGGCCCCAAGCTATTGGCTTGAAGTTTCTGTAGCAGTGTTCATTTTTAATTTTACAGGATGGGGTTGCTAGCCTCATGTCTAACCTTTCCTCTTTACCAGCATTATTTCTGGCCCAGTGAGATAAAGGAGTGTGCCGGCCGGGGATCGAACCCCAGCCAAGTGCATGGTCGACGAGCGTCCTAACCGCTATACCATCGACGCACACCTGTCATAATCGTGTCACAACTGTCATAATCGTGGTTGTTAATATCAGCCAATGCATAAGACCAGCTGAATAAGTGTATGAGAGTCAGGTAACAAGATGAGTTGTTATCAGGATGCACATAGAAACGAAGGAAACTGTGGCATTAAGTAAGAGTTCTAAAGAAATCAACAAAGTTTTTAACATGATAGCAGAAGTGGTTGAATAATTTTGTTTTATGTGTATAGCTTCTGTTTCTCTAACTGAATGGCTAAGGCTTCAACAGTGCAAAGAAGACGAAAGCGTATCGCCTCTGATAGATGATTCTTCACCTTGTTGATTACTTTGAAGGAGGTGTTTGTTGAGATGGCATAACCATTGTTGATAAGGTGTTAGATTATGCACTACTACTACTGTCTTTCTACAACCTTGCGGTGGGATAGTGTTGCTGAACACTTTTAGATAGGGTACGCGTCAACCGACCAAATTACTTGATACAAAAGCAACAGGTGAACTGATATTTACACATAGAAGTGGTCAGATGTGAAATCTTGTCCGTCAGGCTTTTGCAAATCAATGGATCACTGGAGAACGCTACTGTTAACGTCGTTGCAAAGAATTGTCTCCCCAGAGATGCTGAAATTCTTCTTTCAGGGATATCGTAAGTCGAATCTCCCTCGAAATCCAGGCTCATGTGTACTTTCTATTTTGGAAGAAATAATCTTTCGTTCTCCTGAACCTTTGGTTTAATATTGTTGTGAAAAAGCCTTAGTGTGTGTGTGTTCATTTCGGATAAAGGTTTCTTTCAAGAGATCTAGTTTTACCACTAGGGTGTCATATTTCTTGACTTGAAGGCGGTCTTCGACTCCGTGGATCGAAAGGTACTATGGCAATGTTTGACTGTGAAGGGAGTGCCAAGAAAGTACATTGCACTAATCAAGGCACTCTATTCAAACTCATGTAGCCGTGTAAGGGCTTATGGGTAATTGTCATCTGAATTGGTAACAACCAGTGGTGTCCGACAGGGATGTCCACTTTCCCCATTTCTGTTTAACTTCATCAAAGATATGCTAGTGGAAGTATCCTTAACTGAACGTAACGACTTAGGAGTCGACTTGTTACCAGGGAATAGTCTTATGGACTTAGAATATGCAGATGACATAGTCCTGTTAGGGGAGGATGGTGACAAAATCCAGCAGAGTCTTCTGAACACCTTGAGCAGAAATCTTCGTATGTTTGGCATGCGATTCGCCCCTACGAAATGTAAGATGCTGCTAGAGGACTGGACTACGTCAACTCCTAGCTTAGTGATAGGGAGTGAAGTGATAGAACATGTTGACCACTTCACTTATTTGGGAAGTTGTATTAGCACCAACGGACTGATTGGCGACGAAATCTCAACACGGATCCAAAAAAGCTCGAGCTGGCGTAGGCGTAACATCTGGCTATCAATCAAAGGACGTTTGTACTGCTCAGCAGTTCGCTCCGTCCGTCCTTGTCTATGGCTCTGATATATGGCCAATACGCGTTGAAGACATGAAAAGGTTGAGTGCTTTCGATCATAGATGTCTGCGATCTCTTTCTCACGTTAGGTGGTTTAATAAGGTAAGTAATGTTGACGTTAGGCGTAGAGTGTTGGGCAAAGAGGGGAAATCAATCGACGAGGCTATAAAGTTACATAGACTGAGATGGCTAGGTCACGTGCTGCGCATGCCTAACCATCGCCTCGCCTCCCTCGATGGGCATTGTTAGCTGATATAGGTCCAGGTTTGAAAGGAGTAGGTGGTGGCCAAACAAAAACATGGCACCAATCCATGAAATTCTTGACAGTTAAACTGAGTCAGGTAGGGAGATGAAGACTTCCCGGTTGGGGCCCTCGGGACTCTAGGAATCAATGGCTGGAGACAATAGGTGACATGGCTCAAAGTGATCGTTGTCAATGGCCAGTGCAGATGTATTCGGTCTTTGTAATCTTTCATATTCCTTTCTACCATTACCCATTCTGTTTCACTCTTATACTAGTCAAACTCTATTGATTCTTTTCACTCATCTTCCTGTCTACTTTTGTGTGCTATTTGGAACGTGGCAACTGGAACTGCTGCACTTTGGTACCAAGTTCTATGTTGAATCCAGACAGACAAACTAGGGTGTCAGATCTACAGATGCGTCAGATCTGAACGGTAAGGGATTGAATTAGATTTCGTCTTTTTTCGATTGGCACCCAATTGTAGATACTTGTTATTTGACCCTTCCAAGTGGATTTTCTGTAGACTAACCTCCTTAATGCTCCTTTGGGTCTTCTTGTCAATTCCACATCAAGAAAGGTAATTTTAGATTCATTTTCCATTTCTAGAGTGAATTTTATCGCTGGATAACAGTTGTTAAACACTTGTAACAATCCCTTGATTGTGATCGGAACTATGATGAAAATGTTATCTACGTTTCTTGTATACAGCTCTAAATTGTCAATAGTCGATTTGAATGAAAACACATTGTGTATATAAACACGATTGTAGAGCTAAAGCAGAAAATTCATGTGACAATCATAGGGGTATTAGTCTACTACCAGTTGCGTCTAAAATATTGGCTGCCGTCTTGCTTCGCAGTCTGTACAAAATACGTGAGGGATTGATTCGCGAAGGGCAGGCTGAGTTTCATTCAGGTTGTGGATGCATTGATCATGTGTTCACCCTTCGTCAGTTGTTGGAACACCGCCACACGTATTTCAGGCCAACGATCGTTGTGTTTCTTGATATTAGGGCTGCCTTCGATTTGTTGGACAGAACTATGCTCTAGAACTGTCTGTTAGAGAGAGGTGTACCTGAGAAGTTTGTTAACATCTTGAAAGCCCTATACAGAAACACCTCGGGCAGAGTGAGGGCATACAACCAACTATCACCACTGTTCCCAACCAACAGTGGGGTTAGACAGGGTTGCCCAATCTCTCCATTTCTCTTTAACTTTGCCCTCGATGCAATTCTGGTGTCAGCTCTTAAGGATGTGCGTGAAGGTGGTGTAGATCTGCTACCTGGAGATAGACTTTTTGACCCAAATCGCACTTAATCAGTTGGCGATCATTGTCTGTAAGTATGGTATGTGCTTTGCACCGTCTAAGTGCAAAGTACTGTTACAAGATTGGCAGGAGCCTGTACCTGCACTCACTCTTGCGGGTGAACCGCTTGAAGTTGTTGATAAGTTTGTGTATCTGGGTAGTTGTGTGAGTGCTGGCGAAGGAGTGACGGGTGAGATTTCCAACCGTATAATGAAGGCTAGGGTGGCATACATCAACTTGAGCCACCTCTGGCGCCGTCGCGATGTTAGCCTGGTTGTCAAAGGCCGGGTATACAATGCTTCGGTGCGGGCTGTCTTGCTCTACGCCTGTGAAACCTGGCCTCTCCGAAGTGAGGATGTGCGGTTGCTCTGCGTGTTCGATCATCTCTGTCTCTACAGGTTTCCTTGCGTTTGACTACATCATCGCATGAGTAATTTTGAGGTTCGGTGGTGTGTGTGAACACAGTGGAGATTACCATTCATCGACTTACGTCATCTGGAAACACTGGTTCCAGTGGCTTGGACATGTGCTGCGAATGTTATCCCAGAGGCTTCCGCACAGGTCTCTGTTCGCTAGCCCTGGGGCGGGATGGAAAATGCGGCAAGGTGGTCAGTCCATGACGTGGCGTCGTGGAATGAACGATGTTTGTGTTAGATTGGCATTGGTTGATGCGTCACGACTCCCTGGTTGGGGTTTCGCGAGATAGCTCTAATCGATGTCTCGAAACGTAATTGGATAGAGCCACAAATCGCAATCAATGGCACACGTCCTGCGATTTCCTTCTCTACTTCCTTCCCGATGGTAGCTAAAAATGAAAGCAGAAAACAGACGCACCGGAAAGAGTCCCTTTTTGCTGAACTACGTGTTTCATTTTCATTAATGTCTTCATGGAGAAGACTATTCACGAATTGAATTACTATCAGTCAAAATTTGCAATATAGTTATCAAGCCAAGTGATAGTGCTCTTTGATATGGTGTCATCTGGTTTATGACGATCGGTGTTTACAATTTCAATTACTAACGAATATCCTGTGGCCTGATTTACATGCTTTAATTACCATCTAACACACATTTATACTTCTTTTTGTTGAATACATTTTAGGAATATGATTATTCAGCATTTTATCGGTTAATGGCTAAACCAGCAAGAATATTTGATGGACGCCTTCTGCTAGATCATAAACGTTTAACACAGATTGGTTATATTGTTGAAGCTATTGGAATTGCCTGTGAAAACTTAACAATGAATGGTTATTCTACATAATAAGGTGACATTGGCTCTCTCTTTCTTTCTTTCTCTGTATCTTCGATTGAATTCAAGAGTTCTAAGCGTCACTTGATAGGATGTTGATTTCTTTTTTCACTTTTTTATACTATGTCTAGTCGTTTTTATCAAGGTTATTCGACTATAACGGGCCGGATGCTCATCGACTTACTAACCATGAACACTAGTCAGGCGATGAACTTCTTCCATATTAAGTGCTGTTGTTGTTGTCATTCTTCTTCTTTTTTCTTCATTATTGTCGTTTTCATTGACTTCCATAATTGATCGAATATTTTCAAATGTATCGATTGAAAGCTTTAGAGTACCAAAGATTATTTCTTTTTTTTATGATCTCTTCCTAAGTAATTGTTGAATAAAAATGAATAAAATGCTGTTTAGTAGTACTGTCCCACACACTGTTGTACATTTGACTATTATTACTACTACCACTACTACGACTCAGGACATGCATGATATAGGCCAGAATAATGTTTATCATATCTGGATTTTTTTTTCTCTTTCTTTTTTTGTGTAATTTTATTTTTCTTTTGTGTTTTTTCCGGGGATCTAAATATGTTTTCTCCTGTATTTTCCACTTGCTGCTGTGATGTATTTTTTAATTTTATCGATTGTGTTTTGATCTCTGACACTATTGTGATGCCGCTATCCCGGTGTCTGTAATTAATATTAATAATAATATCAATAATAATAATAATGCAATGTCCTCCACAGTGTCTTTTGTATTCCCATTTTTATTAAAATTACTTTTACGATTTTAACTTTTCTCTTGAGAATAGTGGAGGAGAGAATGTGACAAATCGACTAGGGATGGTAATTCTTCTTCTCCCTCCCTCTCTCCTTTAGTTATATTCATAATGTGTAAAGGTTAAATTTTGATCTACCTGATTGTATTAGATGATATTTCGGTAATTTCTCTGTTTTAAAAATAAAGTTAATGTTGGACAGAAAACAGGGACACCAAGTGAGACACAGCCACGATGATCACAACTATTGTCTGACTATGCGAAACAACTACATCAACACTATACGATAGCTATCTGTTTCCCCAGACCACACTACCTACCGAGAACATATAACGACGTGAGCCGTCAAGTATATTTCATCCAATAATATATGATTCAAAATAACACCAAGGTTATATGTCAAGTAGTCTGTCGTGGGCGTTATTTTACGTTCACTAAATTCTTATTGGTTAGTTCTAGACTAGACATCGATCACTTAGTTTGAGGAGTTCTGATTGGCTGATTTCCAGACTGGATATCGGCCACTTGTGTAGGCCAGTCCTGATTGGTTTATTCCTGAGTAGAGGACAAAATGTACACCCTGGACTTCACTGTTAGCTACCATCCGTCCAGAAAATAACATCATGTCAACCCTCAGATGTCGTGGAATCGTTACTACTACGAGGTGCATAAATGTTAATAGAGGCTGTACATTTCGGTCCACTGTAATCGATCAACAGGAAAATCAAATTTGACTTTTAAAAAATAAGAAATTAAAGTATTTAATGAAGAAAGTATTCCTGTGAAATGTTATCAATGATGTTGGATGATTGGAAGCAACTGCTGGGAAGCCTTGCTTGGTCTAAGTTTCGTTCTTGTTTGGCTAGACGTAGCTTCAGTCTTCATGGAAATTACATCCCCTTTGAGACTCAATCTGCACCAAACTAAAGACTATATACACGATATTGGTTAATATCTAGTTACCGGTCAAAGTTTCCATTACAGCCCGTCTCTGACTGAAGCACTGAGCAACTCTGGTCGGAGTCTCAGTAGGCACATGAATTCCTCTGAGGTTATTTGATCACAAAGCATATTTCATTTCGAATCAGTTCAGAACAGAATTGTTGGGGAATTTTTATAAGCCATTTTACATATTTATCAGTATAAGCAATCAGAGCGCAAAAATATCTCATGGAATTTAGGAATTTCAGAAGTTAAATTGCAAAGTTAGTTTGCTGTAAGACTATGCTTGTTAATGGATTCTTAGGGTTATAATTTTCACTGTTTATTATAACACTGATGTAACTTGATTAATCACTCATATAGAGGCCCCTTCAATTTTCACCTTACATTAATTTTTTTTTTTTTTTTGATTTACAGCTTGATTCCACACTGTATTTTCGGTACAAGTATGGAATTTTCAGCGTGGATATCGGTAGCCCAAATTTTGCAGGCCGACCACACATATCAGATGTGCGTCGGTGCGGGCTCGAACCCCGGACCATGTGCATGGTCGGCGAGAGTCCTAACCACTGTGCCACCGACGCTCACTAAATCTACAAGTTCTTCACGTTTCTCAATGTATCCAAACCTTGTGATTTCCTAATATGCACAGCATCAAACCAAAAAGCATTTGTAAAGTTCAACGAATGTCTATCATCAGAAAAGTTAAATTCAAACCTGTAACTAATCATTCTTAATAGTAAGACAAACCTAACATTCATATTTAGATTGAGAGTTACTTAAAAACGTGAATATTGGTTTGAATCAATGCAGTATCTGTCAGATGAAAGCAATGCAACCGATTACATGAAATTCATATCATGTGAAGTTATATTTAAAGAGACTAATCACTACAAACTTGCACTCTGCATAAACAATTAGAACCGGATTTTCAACATAAATGTGAAACTGATCCTTCTACATGGGTCAAAAGCATGGTACCTTACAGAAAGCATTTTCAACAGCTGGCTTCATACTGAAGATCGAATGACTAGTCAGAAATAAGATCGGATACACGCCACTGAGGAGACCGTCGAATTGTGGTGGTGTGATATACACAATGTCTGCCAACGGAATATTATATGCTCAGATATTCCCACAGTTCAGTATTGCATACAATACACCTCACCACAGAATGGCATTGCTCGCTAAGCCGTCGAGTGGAATCCCGAAGAGAGATTACTAGTGAGTTGGCGGTGCGAGTGCAAGGGGGAGTTGATAGACTACGGACATTGTGGGGCCAACTTTAAATGACCACAGAGAAAAGGACGAAATGGAGATATACTCCTGAAGCCCTATCCACCATTCGGAACCTAGAGGAACTATATATAATAATATTAATAACAAATTTTAATGACCAGTATGCTTCCTCGTCTAGGAATAATTAATAGGTACTCAGATATTGCTAACATATGTAAACACAGTTGAGTTTAGCGTGTATGTTATTGTGTACAGGACAGATTTCAATTCCGTTCTAGTGATGATATTTGATTGGCTGTTGATACGTGTTTTGTTTGACATAGGGATACCTGTTTCGGATGGAACTATCTGAAAGTCAGACTTGAACTTTTCAAGAATCATTTCAACTGGGTATTGGTATCAAGAAAGCTTGTGAACAGGTAATGGTACCTTAACTAACTAATTTTTCGTTCTTTTTAACACTGGAGACATTCCGTTAATCATACTGCCTTAATATAGACCATCTCACTCCCAATAATGATTGCCAGAACCGAGTTTTAGTGGAAAAACGAAAGGCACATCAGCATGGTGACTGTAGAGTAGGAAGGTGGCATCAACATAAAAGTCAATACAGCATTATATCGTTTATTCAAGCAACCATTATGCTAAAATAAATAAGTTGATTCAACCCTGTATAATCAAATAATCCTTCTCTACTTTTACTTTTTTGATGTGTCAGCTAACAGAAACATCCAGAATGAGCGTATTGTCAGCTGAATATACTTGCAACTTACCGCCAAACAGATAGTGTAGCTGCGGGCAGTCTACTCAGCTCTAACTCAGAAGATGTATTCATGTCCAACACTGAGAGAACAAAGTTGAATCCTACAGTCTATGAAACATTTTATTATTGTCGACAAGTCATCGATGCATTTATAGTATACAACAATGAAAGCCATGCTTCCTACCTACTTGGATTATTCAATGACGTACATACAAATATTGATTTCACTATGGAACATGAGAATGATAGAAAGTTTCATTTCCTTGACAATTCTATGTAACGCCTCGAAGATGGTAGTCTCCTGAGATCAATTTACTGAAAGCCTACATAGGGATTAGGCAATGCTTACATTTTAATAGTTTCTGTCCAAATAGCTATAAACGAGTACTAGTCGAAACTCTATTTAATGGAGTCAGAAGAATATGCTTTACAGAGAAAAATCAGAGGAAGAATTTCTGATTCTTGAAAAGAACAGTTACCTTCAGAAATTAATTAATAAGCACGGAAGATGTGAAGGCTCTAATACCAAACAAATCAACACACTATCAAAGCTGATGATATTCCAGGAATCGTTAAGAGAAGATTAGATACATTGGGTTAAATAGAAAAAAGAACACGCCTCCGTTTTTCTGAACATGTATAAAGAAGCTTACGTCTCAAGGGGACAAGTGCTTACAATAGTGTCATTGCCAGGCATATCATCAATACGGGTCATGAATTGAACATCATCAAATCCTTAAAAATTACCAATACATAAAACAGTCATGTTTGGCGAAAGCAAACGCTATCAAACACCTGATTTATTTGTTGAGAGAGAATCTGTTATCAGTCTTTTCCTGTCCTAGTAACTGGATGTCTTTATTCTCTCATTTATTCGATTGCCTATTCGCTGACATTAACCTCTTGTCTTTATTATGTAACCCCTTACCATTGTATGCATTCAGTGATTTTTATTTAAACCTAAACTCTCCGTCAACTTGCATCATATAAGATTTGCAAGTATGTTTAGCAGAATTACTGCATCCAGTCAAAATACAATTCTGTAAGTATGTATTAAAAGATACATTTGAACTAGTCAAATGTCCTGACGATAATAATATTATGAATAAAAATAGGCCATCTTCTGATGTAAGCTCTTTATTGACTGATATGCCTTTGCTCAAAATAGTTGACATTTTTTGTGATTACATCTCATCACACAATTTCCTAATCCCGTTCCCTAAATCTTATTTAAGGGATTCATTACTTCTATGTACTAGCAATGTCAGGTTTACTTTTAAAAGTGACTACCT